ATCGCGGCTTCTATTTCGGCGCGTCAGAGATTGCGCACTTGGCGGCAGCTCGGATCGGTTCAAGATTACACGAGCGGTTTTCTCGCACTTTGCGAGCAGGTCGGCTACATGCACGAAGCGGAGCGGGTGGACCGTTACGTCGGAGGGCTGAAACCGGACATCTCGCACGAAATCATGCTACGCGGGCTCTCGAATTTCAACGAGATTCTCGCGCTCGCCGAGAAAATCGACATCCTACGTCGACCGAGACCGGGGTTCTACTACGGACATCGTCCTCGGGGACCGATCGAGCACGCCACTATGAACGCCGTTGCGACGAATGCAGCTGCCGCGCCGTTTAAGGGGCGCTGCTTTGCTTGCAACAGGCCGGGCCATCGCAAGAGCGAATGCCCAGAGGAGCTAAGGCGCCGCGGAGCAGAGCAGGGGAGGGAGTCTCAGAGGCAGGGAAACGCCAGCAGTCAGTAGAATTTGGGCCAACTACTGACGAGACTGCCTGCTCACCCAACCACACCGACCCTCACCGAGTCACAGTACCGATTCACGCCATCGATCGGGCTCGGATGAATAAGGAGGGTACAGCAACGGATTGCCCAGTACTGATCCACGGGAAAATACAGGGAGCAGCAGTGAAGATCTTTATTGACGGAGGAGCAAGCCACAGCTTAGTTAATACCGCAACCGCACGAAAACTGCAACTGACACGTAGCCGTTGCTTACCGGAGATAGACGCACGCTTAGTCGACGGCACGCCGCTAGCCATACGGGAAAAGGTAGAGAGAGTCAAAGTCCGATGCGGGGGGAATTTCGGGTTTACACAGGAAATGCTCGCAACGACACTGGATGGGCACGATATTTTACTGGGGCGCGATTGGCTGCGACGGTATAACCCGCGAATTGACTGGACGACAGGTAGCTGCACCGTGCGAAGTGGTGGTAACTGGGTCCAACTACCTCGCTGGCAGTCGCCCGAGTCTTCAACGGTCCACGTCAACGCCATCACAATGAAACGGGCTGTCGCTGCTGGAGCTGACGTGTACGAAGTAGATATCGCAGTAGTAGAGGAAGCAGAGCAGCCGAGCGATTTCAAGAAACTGCTGGCAGCTGTACCGCCCGAATTACACGAACTGTTGAAACGGTACCCCGGGATCTTCCCCGACGACTTACCGGAAGGATTGCCACCTCAGCGAGCACATGACCACCGAATCGAATTAGAACCGGGGGCACAGCCAACCGTACAGCGCCAGTTCAGACTGACACAGCCTGAGCTCGACGAACTAAGGAAGCAGTTAGATTACCTGTTAGAGAAAAAATTCATCCGACCAAGCTCGTCACCATTCGCCGCACCAATATTGTTCACGCCGAAAAAAGACGGGGGTTTTCGCATGTGTATCGACTACAGAGCACTGAACAGGGTAACAGTCAAGTCGCGATACCCCATTCCCCGCGCCGACGAACTGATCGACCAACTGCGAACAGCACGGATGTTTTCGAAAATAGACTTACGGGGGGGTTACCATCAGATTCGGGTCGAACCATCGGACTGCGCCAAGACAGCATTTAGGACTAGGTACGGGTCGTTCGAGTACACTGTGATGCCTTTCGGGCTAACCAACGCACCGGCGACTTTTCAGATGACCATGAACGAGGCATTTAGGCCGCTCTTAGATAAATGCGTCATAGTTTACCTCGACGACATCCTAGTTTACAGTCGGGATAGGCAGCAGCACTTAGTGGATCTGGAAGCGGTTTTTAAGGTTTTAGAAGAGCACCGCCTACTGACCAAGGGTTCCAAGTGCGAGTTCTTCCAGGATAGGTTAGAATTTTTGGGGCACGTTATTTCGGAGGCTGGAGTTGAAATCGACCCAAAGAAGCTGGATACGGTAAAAGCGTGGCGTCCCCCGACAAACATCACGGAGCTGCAGAGTTTTTTAGGGTTCGTTAATTATGTGCGTCGGTTCGTCCCCGACATGGCACAGTTGACTGCCCCGCTGACTGATTTACTGCGAAAGGGGGTCACTTTTACATGGGGGGAGAAAGAGCATGCTGCCTTCTCTGCCCTGAAAAATGTTCTCTGTTCACCGCCCGTCCTGCGCATCGCCGACCCACACCGCCTTCTTCGAGGTTGTTACAGACGCAAGCGACATCGCCATTGGAGCCGTACTGCTACAGGACTTCGGCAACGGCCTACAGCCCATCGCATACGAGTCACGAAAACTGCATCCGCCCGAGCGAAATTACCCGATACACGACCGCGAAATGCTCGCGATCGTGTATGCGTTCAAAGTGTGGCGCTGCTACTTGACCGGCGCAGACGTGACAGTACGGACAGACCACCGATCACTACAGTACCTCCGCGCACAGCCCCTCCTCAACCCACGACAGATTCGGTGGCTCGATTTCCTCGAGTCAAACTTCCACTACACAGTCACCTATAAAAAAGGAGCCTCGAACATCGCCGACGCACTGACCCGCCCCACTGCCCAGATTCACGCGATACTACTCGCCCAGACCAGCCCGCTACTGACAGGACTATTTACCCACGGATATCAAACAGACCCATTCTTCACAGGAGGAAATTCGCAGCAGTTCGCAGCAGCCAAAGGAGTCTATTACGTAAAAACCGGGACCGACCGCATCTGGGTACCAGGGTACACACTGCTACGGGAATTACTATTACAGGAGGCACACGACGGGGTCACCTCGGGACATTTCGGGGTAGAAAAAACACGGCAGCAGCTGCAGCGGTATTATTACTGGCCCGAAATGTTGACCGACGTGCAGCGACACGTGGCATCGTGTCCCACTTGCCAGATCATGAAGTCATCACGGAAGCGGCCGGCGGGACAGTTGCAGCCAATCCCACCTCCAGAGCGTGCTTGGCAGCAGGTGACGATGGACTTCGTCACGGGGTTACCGGCCGGGGCGAGTGGGAATGACGCGATCCTGGTCGTCGTCGATCGACTGACGAAAATGGTACACTTCGCAGCCTGCAAAAAATCAATCACAGCCGAAGAAACAGCCCGCCTCTTCATCTCTACCGTCGTTCGACTACACGGGATACCAGCATCAATCATCAGCGACAGAGACACGAAATTCACCAGCAACTTCTGGCGGAACCTGTGGCAGCAGTTCGGCACGCGACTACAGTTTAGTTCATCGTACCACCCCGAAACAGACGGACAGACAGAACGGACAAATCAGACCATGGAACAGCTCATCCGGGCCACGTGCGACGACCCAAACACGTGGGAACAGCAACTGCCGCTCATCGAATTCGCATACAACAACGCCCCATCCGCCACGACCCAACAGTCACCATTTTACCTGAACTACGGACAAGACCCAACAGTACCCATGACCCCGAATCCCGACAACCCGGTCCCACGCGCGCAACAGTTCGCCGAAATTTTGCAAGCAGCACGGACCAGGGCAGCAGATGCAATCAAAAAAGCTAACATCATCGCTAAACGCAACGCCGACCGCCACCGCAGACCTGTCACTTATCAGCCCGACGACTTAGTTTTGCTCGACACCCAAAATCTCCGACTGCCCATCACCCCGAAACTCCGCCCCCGATACTGCGGGCCATTTCGCATAAGCCACATGCTCACACCCGTCACCGCCCACCTCCTCCTCCCTGCTGACTGGTACGTCAGCCCCTCATTCCACGTCAGCCTGCTTCGCCCTTACGTCCCGTCCACGAGCCAACTGCCACGCAATCGCCCAGCTAGCATGACCAGACCACCAACCGAACCAATCATTACCCCCGAAAAAATACTGAGTCACAGGGTTCGCGACCCTCGAGGAGACCGAAGGATCGAACTCTTACTCCGCTGGAAGGACCGTACACCCACCGAAGATAATTGGGTTCCCCTGGACAGAATCGAAAACCACCCCGTCCTCACCGAGTATCTGCGCAGCCGAAACTTCAGGGATGTACACGCACTTTCGTAAGGAGGACCTCCTTAGGGGGGGGGGGGTAGTGTAAGGAAAATCTCCTTTTCCTTACTTCGCATCCCTGCTCAACGCGTACATCACTGTAGCACCACAGTCAGCACCGTTACCACTCGCAATCCTCGCATCGACAATCTGCCCGCCACCTTCGCACGCCGCACCCCGACCTCACGGCTCGGCGGGTAACCCGCGCTCCGGGCCTCCGCTTCGACACTTTTCCCAACCTCAGTCCCAGGCCCGTCGCGCGACAACCACAGTCCATTACCGTTACCACGGTAGTTTCGCTATATATTCTTCGCTCATACCTTCGCTCATTGTACTCTTGCTTCGATAGTGCAATTCTCGTTCGTTCACTCAATTGCACTCGTAACAGTTGTGTAGCGGTTCCGCAACCATCAACCTGGCGTGCCAAGTCTGAGAGAAATTGGTCTGATCGCTTTTTTCTTCGCGTGAGCCGAAACCTCTTCATCCTCGTTAGTGATAGAAGCTCCGTTGGTGATAGATCTGAACCTCTTCAACCATCCATCATTGCTGGTAGAAGCCGTGAACGTTGCATGCATGTGCATTTGGTTTTTGTGTGCTGACCAGTTTGTGAATGTTAGGCCTTTTGATGTTTGATTCTGTGGATGCTTGGTTTTTCTGGCTGATGTCGTTCAGAATTTGCATGAGTGGTAATGACATAGAGTGGGCATACACAATAATTTGTTGAGTGGCAATGAGATCTGAGGTGCAAATAGGATGAGTGAATACCATGCCACGTGGAAAAGGCGAACGAGTTGTCTGATTAAACCTCCATCCAATAAATCGACACCAGCATTGCTGTGATACACTTGGGGGGTTCCTCATAGAGGCTGCATGCTGCATAAACCTCCCTAACCTGCTGCTGGAGATGGGCTGTACTACTGTTGTCGTACACGTCACTCGTGTATCTACAGTGAAACATCACCAGGATATGCCTGGGGGTTCCTCATAACGGCTGCACGCACCTCCCTCTCGTGCTCCTGCAGATGAACCGGAATATTGTCGCTGTTGTACACCTTCTATATCTACAGTGGCACGTCACCGGGATAGGCCTGGGGGTTCCTCATAACGGCTGCACGCACCGCCCTCTCCTGCTCCTGCAGATGAACCGGAATATTGTCATACACATCGCTCACTAGATCCGAAAGCGGCGGCTTTGGAAGCTTCTCGGCAGCTTCCAGCGCGGATATCACCTGAAAGGAGCCAATCAAACGGGGCAAAGGGAGAATGGTCATGGGTTGAGAGCCATGGATGTATGCATGCACCACCCGTGAAACCAGATGAATTACCTACTGACCCCACCAAATACATATGTCCCAAAAACTACACCCTCACCTCGTCCCTGGCAGTGTCCCTCGCATGCCTCTCCCGCTCCTCATCCCACCACCCTTTTCTCTCCAGCCACCGCCTGAACCGCGCCACTGGGCCTCTCTGTGAGCGCCAGTGCACGCCCCACCAAACTTTCCTACATCCGCAGCAGGAACACACATAAACACAGAGAATACTCCCACAAGGGGAGAGAAAGACCCTCACCTCGTCCCTGGCAGTGTCCCTCGCCTGCTTCTCCCGCCCCTCATCCCACCACCCTTTTCTCTCCAGCCACCTTCTGAACCGCGCCACCGGGTCTCTCTGTGTGCGCCAGTGTGCCATCTCCCCTGCGCCGCGGTAGCGAGAAGAATCATCTGACGTGCTGTGATGCCCTGTGCGGTATGTCATGGCCTGGAGGATAGAGGGTGGAAGAAAGGTAAAGGAGAGTACGAGAACAGAGGGTGGACGGAGGGTGAAGGAGGGGAAGAAAGCAGGGTTTTCTCTTTGGGTGCGCCAGTGTGCCATCTCCCCTGCTCCGCGGTAGCAAGGGGACTCATTCGACGTGCTGTGATGGCCCGTACGGTATGTCATGGCCTGCAGAGGGAGGGGAGAGGGGAGAGGGAGAGTAAATGGAGGGAACACAGAGGGTAAAGGGATGGTAGGGGTCTCTTTGTGTGCGCCAGTGTGCCATTTCTCCTGCTCTCCGGTAGCAAGGGGAATCATCTAACGTGCTGTGATGGCCTGTGCGGTATGTCATGGCCTGTGCGGTATGTCATGGCCTGTAGAGGATACAGGGTGGGCGAATGGTGAAGGATGGCAAGAGGACAGCAGAGGTCTCTCTGTGTGCGCCAGTGTGCCATTTCTCCTGCTCTCCGGTAGCAAGGGGAATCATCTGACGTGCTGTGATGGCCTGAGGGGAGGGTATGAGGATAGGTTTCCCCTCAGGTATGAGGACGCCACCACTCTCTCTCTCTCCTCCGTCACCACCCTCTGCAGTGACAGCACATTACTTCCAGTTGTTCACGACTATCCACCGCACTCCACCGCCCTTACACCACACTTGACCACAGCTCACCGCACTTCACCGCGCTGCATCTCACCTCGACAAGAATGGGCTTTCCTGCTGGCACATTCTCTCCATTTGCTTGAGAATGCCAACCGCACGCATTTCACCGAACTTCACCATCCCTCACCACACTTGACCACAATATAACACACTTGACCGCACTTCACCGCACTGCATCTCACCTCAACGAGAATCGGCTTCCCCGTCTGCACGACTCGCTCCCTTGCCTCCTTCACCACCCTCAGCACCGCCAGCACGTCGTTGCCGTCCACCCGCACACTAGAGACACCGTATGCCGCCCCTCGCCCTGCTATGCCATCACCTGAAATTCGGGAAAACGACGAGAGGAGGAGCAGGTCGCGGGGGGAAGGGGGAGTGTCGGGGAGTGGGGAAGTGAGGGAACGAGAAGAGAAAAGGGGAAAGAGAGAGAGAAAAAAATAATCCAAAACACAAACATCAAACAAGTAGCATGTTATGTTACTTCAGGATGATGACTGCTTTGAGCTTGAGAAATAGGGGATAATTGTCTCTGAACTCAGTAGTTAAGGTTATGTAACATGTTAGTCCTCAAGAACATGGTATTGGGCGTTACAGAAAAAGCATGGTAAGGTTTGAGTGTGCATACCTCGGTACTGTTCCTTAGCGGGAGTGCTTATAGCCCAGCCGTTGTTGCGGCATACAAAGAGCACAGGGGCCTCCAGGACCGCTGCAAAGTTGAGAGCTGCGTGAAAGTCGCCCTGAGGGTTGGCACAGAGGTACGCAGAGGTACAAGTGGGGACACGAGGGCAGAAATGGGCACATCACATGTGGGCACACGTGGGCATATAAAGAGTACAGGTCTTTGCTAAACCTTCTCCTTAGAAACTGCAGCTCGCTGGAATGTCGGATCACACACGTGGGCATATAAAGCGTACAGGTGCTTCCAGGACCACTGCGAAGTTGAGAGCTGTATGGAAGTTGCCCTGCGAGTCAACACAGTCAGCACAGTCAGCACAGTCAGCACATGTGGGCACACGTGGCTATCGACAATCCAATCAGGAGCAGCCAAGCGCGAATGCATGCAGAATGCACCTTCCACAGGCGTTTCTACAGGCGTTTCTACAGGCGTTTCTACAGGCGTTTCTACAGGCGTTTCTACAGGCGTTTCTACAAGCGTTTCTACAGGCGTTTCCACAGGACATCCCCAGAGTTCTCACCTCACTAGCAGCGCCCTCTCCAAAGTAAGCCACAGAGCAGCACCCCTCACTATCCGATGATACCACACGTTACCGCCCGACACCGCACACGATCACCTTGCCACTCCTTCACAGCTCACCTCACTAGCAGCGCCCTCGCCAAAGTAAGCCACGGAGCAGCACCCCTCGCCTGCCATCTTGAGTCCGTAAGCGGCTCCCACTGCATGTGGGATCTGTGTGCTGGTTGGGGCGAGAACGGGGAACACGGGAGACAGGGTAGGAAAGAGGCGGGTGGGTGGGGAGGGGTGGAATGGGTGGAAGCCACGGAGCAGCACCCCTCGCCTGCCATCTTGAGCCCATAGGCCGCCCCCACTGCATGTGGGATCTGTGTGCTGGTTGGGGCGAGGCAATATGAGGAGGAAATACAGGATGAAGGCCCATGGGTGCGCGTGCTGAAGGGAGTGAAAACAGGAAACAGGGGAACCAGGGGGAGAGGAGGGGGTGTAGAAGGGATCTGGTGGTGCCTAGATGGGTCATGGCGGTGGAGTGTGGTGCTGAGGTATGCCTTGACGTATGCCATGCCATTTTGAGTATGCCATGCCATATTGAGTAGGCCATGCCATTTTGAGTATGCCATGCCATTTTGAGAATGCCATGCCATTTTTAGTATGCCATGCCATTTTAAGCCTGTGTGGCCCACCTCACATACAAGAAAGTAAGCAGGGCAGGGCAAGGCAGCAGCGAAGAAACCACTCACGCTAGCGGCAGGGAGATGGTGTGAAAGCGGACCTCCGCAGACCCATAGAGCACAGGCATCTGGCGGCCGTTGCCCTCATTTAGGCGATTGCGCATGCACCGATTGGCTAAGTCAGGGAGGGAGAGACGCAGTTCCATACTGCCACACGGGCATGAGGCAAGGCTCACTCACGCCAAGGGGGACGGTGCTGTTATTAGAAAACAGGTGGGCTGCGGAGGTCTGATGTCCATCAACTTGAGTGTTATTGAGACGGCGAGACAGACTCCATGAAATAACGACACTGCCACACGGGCATGAGGCAAGGCCCACTCACGCCAAGGGGGACGAGATGGTGTGGAATCGAGTTGATTTTTGAGTCGACTCAAAAATCAAAAGGCCCACTCACGCCAAGGGGGACGAGATGGTGTGGAATCGGAGCTCCGCGGACCCATAGTGCACGGGCATCTGCCGCCCCTTGCCCTTGTCCAGCCGGTTGCCCCCCCTTTGTCAGATGAACCTTTGATACTTTGAGCCACTCACGCCAAGGGGGACGAAATGGTGTGGAATCGGAGCTCCGCGGACCCATAGTGCACGGGCATCTGCCGCCCCTTGCCCTTGTCCAGCCGGTTGCCCATGCACTGGTTGGCGAAGTCTGAGAGGGAGAAGCCGCGCCACAACAGCACCCCGGGCTCTCGGTACTGTCAGGAGAAGGGGGAGGGAGGAGGGGAGAAGGAGGGGAAGTGCGAGACACTAAGGGCATCTGGCGGCCCTTGCCCTTGTCCAGCCGGTTGCCCCTGCACTGGTTGGCGAAGTCAACAAGGGAGAAGCCCCGCCACAGCAGCACCCCGGGCTCGCAGTACTGAAGGGGGGAGGGGGACGCGAGAGGTGGGAGGGAGGGGTTGGAAAGGGGGACGCGGAAGGAGAGTCAGTGTGGCCTCTGTGTGCCCCTTGCCTGCGTCTAGCTGGTTGCCCCTGCACTGGTTGGCGAAGTCAGAGAGTGAGAAGCCCCTCACCATACCTGTGCAAAGACGTGGTCGTGGGCGTGAATGGCGGCAGCGGCGATGTTGACTTACGTTGACCTTTGTTGACCCACGTTGACCTGGAGACTAGAAAGCACATACCTGTGCAAAGACGTGGTCGTGGGCGTGAATGGCGGCAGCGGATGCAATGTTGACTGCCTCTTCTCCCGCCGTGGTCATGTAGAACGAGAAGCGCCCCTGCCTCTGCCGCTGTGCCCCCTGAGGGGGAGGGATACTAGGGGGAAGCGTCTGTGCTGCTGCGCCCCTTGGAACACCACACCAAACCACACCACACCACACCACACCACACCACACCACACCACACCACACCACACCACACCGCACCTGAGCAAAGACGTGGTCGTGGGCGTGAATAGCAGCGGCAGAAGCGATATTTACGGCCTCCTCCCCCGCAGTGGTCATGTAAAACGAGAAGCGCCCCTGCCTCTGCGCCTCGTAGAACACCGAGTCCATTGCCTGCAGCTCCACCATTGCTTGATACATGCGCTCTGCGTCTTGCTGAGACAGCTGCAGGAAAGCAGGTGGGAGAGGGTAATCGGATGGAAAAGGGTTGCGGGCGGGAGAATTGAACACCAAGTCCATGGCCTGCAGCTCCACCATCGCCCCGTACATGCTATTTTTGAGGCGCACCGTACATGCTATTTTTGAGGCGCCCCGTACATGCTATTTTTGAGGCGCACCGTACATGCCATTTTTTAGGCGCCAGAAAAAACAGCTCCACCATCGCCCCGTACATGCGCTCTGCCTCCTGTTTGGTCCAGCTGGGGCAAAAAAGGGTATTTTTTGGGGGGTTGGTGTGGATCCGAGGATTGTCAGGGCAGCTGTAGTGGACGGCGAGGGAAGGAGCGGGGAGAAGCACCCCTGCCTCTGGGCATCGTAGAGTGGCCTGTAGCTCCACCATGGCCTCACTCACTCACTCACTCACGCACTCACTCACTCACTCACTCACTCACTCATTCCCCCACTCACCCCCACACTCACTCACCTCGGACTCCTCAGCGCCTTCCACGAGACCCCCCTCGTGGTCCAGCACTCGGAAGCACGGCACAGGCCCACTCTGGCTGCTCTGGCTGCTCTGGCACCAACTAAAGGTCAGCCGTGAACGGTATATGCGCGCTTCCTTTACCCCTTGCTTCTTCTCACACCCTCTCTAACTCACCTCGGGCTCCTCGGCGCCTTCAACGAGCCCCCCCTCGTGGTCCAGCACTCGGAAGCACGGCACAGGCGATTCTGGGAGCTCCGGCACGAAATAAAGATCAGAAGTGAACGCCATGCGCGCTGCTCCCATCTTCCCTTCTTTTTTACTCCATCGCTCCCTCGCTCACTCTCATTCACTCACCTCGGGCTCCTCGGCGCCTTCAACAAGTCCCCCCTCGTGGTCCAGCACACGGAAGCAAGGTACTGGCGATTCTGGCAGCTCCGGCACGAAATGAAGGTCAGGAGTAAACGCCATGCGCGCGCCTGGAAACTCATGAGATAACGCCACCGCTGCTGCCCCTGCTGATGATGACGTGCCTGCTGACGTGGAGGCTGACGACAGGTTGGGCTCCTGTGGTGTGATGGAAAGCAACAGAAGGCTCTTAAACCTGGGAGTATTGCGGAAAGTATACCAATTATTCCATTTCTCGAAAACTGAAAATTTAGGGGGTAACAACTTGAGCTACCTGGCGATGGTGTAGCGAACCCGTGATACTTCGCACGAATCTTCTCGTCTGTCCGATTCCAGCAGCATCTTGGGTTGTTGAGGCTTTAACGGGCGGAGCTATACCATATATTTTTCGTAGCGTTCGTTCACTTTCGCGGAAGCCTCGGCGCGCGACAGCGGCAGCTAACGCACGGGTCGCCATGATGGAGATTGCGAACAACTCAAAACGGAAATACCCGATTCGACCTCGAATTGTTAGAATGCGAACTACTCTCGGAGTCGTGGCTTGTTAACGAAATTACAACAACCAAACCGAGAGCTCGGGAGGACTAGCAGTGGGTGTCGCCTATGAGCAGCAGCACAGGATGATGATATATCTTATTTACAGAGTGCAACGAGGGCTACGGTCCGGGCAATCTGAAGCAGAAGCGTCTGCCTCAGCTTCTGTGACTGCTGCTCCTACTGCCGAAACGACGGCTATAACAGGTTTTCCAGGCTTCTGTGTTGCAGACTTCTATTATTCAGAGCTGCTGCTTCAGATGGAATCCGAGGTCTCTGAATCTCAACGTGCCCGTCAGTCTCATCACTTGGCTGGGCGAGAGTGTATCGCCAGTCTCGCAACGCGGTTCCTGAACATTTACGGATCTTTTGCTCTGGTCCAGTGCAATTCTTCAGGGTACGAAATGTATGTCATGAACTTACCGCTCTGGACCTCCGCAAACTAAGGTACACCGAACGAGGTGAAGTGAAAAGCCAATGTTGTACAAATGTTCTCGTTTATAGTCCGACGGATCAACATCGCCGCGCGCGGACTATGTGGCAAACCCTTCAAACCCCAGGCAAAACGCGATACTTATAGTCCCGTTCAGGAAAATTGCATGAAGAGTGGTTGTTTTGCTACTAGATTCTGGAGTTTGGCATTTACGTAGATTTGGACCGCGCTTGCTTCAACTTCCAGTCGCACGGTTTTCCACGCTGATCAATGTCGCATGACTAACGGTCAAAACTAAACAAAATCAACTATGGTTTGGGGGTCGAATAGTAACCCAAAAACTTCGTTTCTACCCTGTAAGCGAGATAAATGAGATGTCATCGTCGATCGCGCTGGAGACAGCGCGACAGGATTGAGAATTAGTCGCGGTCAAGAGAAACAATTAATTACAAATAAAAAGTTAAAATATCGAATCGATGATCCCTTCTTCATCGTTTTCTTCGAATGTTGGGCTGGTTTCATCTGGAGCCTCTGATTGGCTGCGGAGCTGATTCGTGCAATGATTCGGTCAAGCTTCAAAATTTCCCGCCAAAAACGGGACTATAGGGGTTGGGCCAACCCTAGGCGATATCGGAAAATTCTACTCAGGGGGGAAAAGGGACTCTCTCAACGAGGGCCTCTAAGCAGGAACATCTGTATTGGGCCGGGCCATTCCCGAGCAGTCTCGGGAATTCAGAACCGTTCGCGTGCGTGTGACTTGGATTCTGGAAGTTGGAGCTGGTGACGCGTCACAAGAAGCCCAAAGCAGCACACACCCGCACCCAGGTCTGCAGATCCAGCTCCTCGCTGCCTCAGCAGCTCAAGTTTCACGGTCAGCGATTCGTCGCAATCAGGTACAGCCAATAACGGTTTTCGTTACAAGAACAAGCACGTATTCTCATTACAAATAGCCTGTCACAAGCTACATAGCATTAGGTTTCCAAACAAAATATTAACACTCTACGGTTTCACAAGCTGCAGCTTAGTTGTTGGACTGTTGCATCCGCACAAGGCTCTCGCCAATCACGTCCGTTGGAAGCTCGTCCGATTCATCCAACGGCATGTACTGCGCCATGATGGCCCGAATCTCAGAATCAACATGTGTCTGCACGCAACACGAGACATGTCAGAAACGAGGAAAAAAATGCGCGAAAATATCGAGGATGAATACATACGCAAGCAACAAACTGGGCATGAACATCGTGAGAAACGATGTCGAACGGCGTGGCGCATGCACACACAGGAATAGAGAAACTGATGATGAAGTTGGCATTCTTACCCGGAGGTGGTACTGGTACATTAGATACCCCAGGACTGCAAAAACGGCAATGAAGCCCAACACTATAGCCACTACTCCACCCCAGATAGTACGAGTAGGGGCTGCGCCCTCAGATACCCTGCCTGTTGTGCGCAAGAGTGATGAGGTGGGGAGCGCAAAAACAAGGACAAAGAGCATCCCAATGCATGCGAGAGAGGTGAAGGAGATGCAGGAACAAGGATACAGAGCAGCAGCGTCGCCACAATTCAGCCTGAAAGAGTACAAGGATGCGTTGAGCCCTCAAATACTTGAGAAGTGAGTGCCTCATGTGTGTGAAGTGAGAGTGAAAGAGTGAGCGAGAGTCACGCGAGTCACGAAGGAAAATGCAGAAGCCTTAGCGGAAGATTGGGAGAATTCATCGGTCAAAGGAAATCCACTCACTGATGCACGCCTGAAGCTGGTCGATATACACCATGTCCTCGCCCACACACGAGCACTCGTACGACCCGAACGTGTTGCGGCACTTGCACTCGGGGCACTTGCAGGCGGGGTGTGAGGGCGCACACTCGTTGATGTCCTTGCAGTGGTGCCCGTTGCCCGTGAAGCCCGGCGGACACACACAGGTGGTGGTGGGGGAGGTGGAGCTGTCCTGCTTGGGGGAATAGCCGGTGAAAGGGGAGGAATAGGAGGTAAGAAGCATTAGCACTCCAATGCTTGAAAAGAGAGACACCAGCAGCAGCACAGCAGCAGCACAGCAGCAACTCACATGGCAGGCGGTGTACGTCTTTCCCTCGTGGGTGGACTGCCAGCATCCCCCGTTGCCCACCAGGCAGCGACCCACTCCCGCCGCTGCACGTGCGAGTGAGGAGAGGAGCAGAGCGCATGGGGAGAGCAGAGCAGGTGGGGAGAGCAGTGCAAGAAGTGAATGAATCACGAGAGCATATAAACAAATAATTCGACAAAGAAAAGTAGTGCAGCGAAGGACGGAAAGATAAGTGGGCTGAAACTCAGTAGTGGTTATGGGAACGATTGTTGTCTAAGTACTCACCCTCGCACTTGGTGTAGCCATCGCCTGTGAGGTACACCCCCGTGACAGGGTCCTTGGGGCACACTAAGCAGAGCGCACTCAGTAAAGAGTACACTCAGTAAAGAGTACACTCAGTGAAGAGTACACTCAGTAAAGTTACCGTAGTACTCACCCTCGCACTTGGTGTAGCCATCCCCAGTGAGGTACACCCCCGTGGCAGGGTCCTTGGGACACTCGCACACCCTGCCTCTGAACGTGTCCTGCAGGAGGGGAGAGAGGGAGGGAGAGAGGGAGGGAGAGAGGGAGGGAGAGAGGGAGGGAGAGAGACAGGGAGACGGGGCAAAGGGAAACGTGTGATGTTTTCAACACAGGGTCCTTGGGGCACTCGCACACCCTGCCTCGGAACGTGTCCTGGAAGGGGGAGAGAGGGAGGGAGAGGGACAGGGAGACGGGGCAAAGGGTTAAGACAGGGTCCTTGGGACACTCGCACACCCTGCCTCGGAACGTGTCCTGCAAGGGGGAGAGAGAGGGGGAGAGATAGAGGGAGAGAGGGCAAAGGGAAACGTGAGATGTTTCCAACACAGGGTCTTTGGGACACTCACACACCCTGCCTCTGAACGTGTCCTGGAAGGGGGAGAGAGTGAGAGAGGGAATTCTTACAGACCTTCAGAATTGAGACGCCTCAAAACTCTTTTACAGACCTTCAGGATTGAGACGCCTCAAAACTCTCTTACAGACCTTCAGGATTGCCGGAAGCAAACCTTGACTCAGCCCACACATCGAGACAAAAGATGTGTTGACAGACTCACAAACTCTCAGCACAGGAGTGCACAGCACAGGACAGCACATTACACCTCATCTCAAATGGATGTGGTTCAGATCAGAGCGAAGCGCACCTTGCAGGCTGTGAGATTGTGCCCCTTCCAGCAGCCCTTCTTGACTCAGTGTTCCCCCCACATACAGAGCCACGCATTTTCTGGACTTGGACAGAGCAAAACGCTGGTTCAGATCAGAGCGAAGCGCACCTTGCAGGCTGTGAGATTGTGCCCCTTCCAGCAGCCCCCGTTGTTGGTCAGGCACTCATTAGTTTGCACCTCTGATGGCGTGGCGGGGCAGGAGGTGGGAGGGTGGCGGGGGAAGGAAGGGGGAGGGGATGGGGGCAGCCCCCGTTGTTGGTCAGGCACTCGTTAGTTTGCACCTCTGATGGCGTGGCGGGGCAGGAGGTGGGAGGGTGGCGGGGGAAGGAAGGGGGAGGGGATGGGGGCAGCCCCCGTTGTTGGTCAGGCACTCGTTAGTTTGCACCTCTGATGGCGTGGCGGGTTGGAAAAAAAACCACGGGAGAAGGCAATGATCGATTGGTCACCAGCAGCTACTTCAAAAGAGAATGGTATATTGAATTGAGTATTGCATGGAGTGTTACGTTGCACATGCTCATACCGGCACCAAGGCAGATGGGTGGCTCTGTGGATTCTTCAAAGCCCGCACAGATCGCCTTGAGAACTGCCTTGGCCTCTAGCTTGCCTGCACTTGCCATCCATATCATGACATGCCACCATCATGACATGCCACCATCAAGACATGCCATCACCATGCCATGCCATCACCATGACATGCCATCACCATGCCATGCCATCACCATCCATACGAATGATCGTAATGCACAGTATGACAGCAGCACAATATGACATCAGCAAGACATGCAATCACCATGGCATGCTGTCATGTGTGAGCACAAGGCATGTGAGTGTGGCAGCATGTGTAATGACTCGCGTTCCTAATGCCAAACACCGGCCACTCACCTCTGTACTGCACATTGTTGATCACAATCATGGTAACATGGTAACAAACGCGACACAATCAGCTCAGAAGTGACCTCTTAACTGATACCAACTGCCTACCTCTGTATTGCACATTGTTGATCACAATGGTTGGTAACATGGTAACATCGCTCCTCCCACGCTTGCCCACCTGATGGGATGGGGACAATGGGGGGAGAGCAGCAAGAGCAGGAGGGATGAGGCAGAGTGGTGGAATTGACGGAGATGGGGCAGAGTGGGGGGAGTGGCAGGAATGGGGTTGGATAAAATATGGGTTTGAGTCATTAGAAAAGCTCGGTCAATAGAGGGGTATGCCAGGCGTGAATGTGACACTAAAGAACTCCCACCTGAGCCTCCTGCTCTTCTTCCATCACGGGGTTGGCTGCATTCCTGTTGGGCTCGCCCATGCACGCGCGTACCTTGCGTGGGTATAGTCTAGTTTGGAGCTACCATACCAGGTACCCACCTGAGCCTCCTGCTCTTCTTCCATCACGGGGTTGGCTGCATTCCTGTTGGTTGGGCTCACCCATGCCCGCCCCAAGTTTTTTAGTCGACTAATATAACGAGCGATGCAAGTTCAAAGAGGTACCGCTGACCCACCTGAGCCTCCTGCTCTTCTTCCATCACGGGGTTGGCTGCGTTTCTGTTGGGCTCGCCCATGCACGCGCGCACCTTCTGCGGATCCACACCTGTTGGGAAGAGAGGAGGGAGAAGGAGGGGTGGGGTGTTGAGGGGGTTTTGATTGGATCCCATGCGCACACACAACTTGCAGTCCTGTTGGGCTAACCCATGGATCGTGTAAACAGAGTTGTTTTGAGACGTTTGAGAATTCTCAAAAGTTTTGAGACGTCTCAAAGCAGTCCTGTTGGGCCAGCCCATGAATCGACACGTGACAGGGCGTGGGGTTTGGAAAGGGGGAGAGTGGGGGAGCGGGTCGATTGGAATCAGTCACTATGTCAGGCCTGCTGAGCTCATACATGCATTCCTGTTGGCCCGCACATGCACGCCCGCACCTTGCACGGGACCACAACTGTGTGGGGGGGGAGGTTGGGGAGACGGGTAGAGTGGGGGAGCGGGTTGATTGGAATCAGTCACTATGTCAGGCCTGCTGAGCTCATACATGCATTCGCTCATGCACGCCCGCACACAATCCGTTCATGAGCTTCTCGGCACCCTCCTGGCTGTACTGCTTCTCCTCCATGCGGTATCGTTCCTACCAACTCCCCCCTCCCCCTGCCTCCCGACCTTTCTTGTTATACATGCCACGAGCAGCACCAGCATCCCCATTCCAGCACAACAAACACACACTCACCCAGGCCGGTCATGAGCTTCTCGCCGCACTCCTGGTTGTACTGCTTCTCTTCCATGCGGCACCGCTTCTTGAAGTCAGCCGCATACTCCCACCACACCCACGGCGCGCCCGTCTCATTCGCCACGCGCCACACGCACAGCTGCCGCAGATTCTCAATCACCACCTGCCGCCCATCATACCCCTTGTCGAAATCCCCCTCGGGATCAGGTGAACAGTACCGGCCGTTGTTCACGCACTGGAACTTGCACTGCCGCGTTTCTTTTAGGGTTTCCGGGCAGAACCAGGTCATATAATGCGGGGTAAAGAGCGTGAAACCCTGCTGCTCTAAGATAATCGCGTACCCCCGGAATTCCTCCAGGAATTTCGCCTGCATGTCGCATTTCGTCCCGCATTCATCATTGCTATTGGTCCAGAACTCGTACTCCACCCGCGCGTCAGGGTGCGGCAGCGACTCCTGCCAATCAAGAGCCGCCACGACCATCTGTTTCTTCTTCAGCGCGGATTTGATTGCGCTGGCGGTGGATTTCTGGATGAGAGCCGAGGGGATGGTGATGTTGCTGATGAGATCGCCGGCCTGCTTCGCCTCGGGATCATCGTCGGGAGAATCCATGGTGATCAGATTCTCGTTCTGGTCGTCCGCGATCAGGACGGCAGATGCTCCTGCCAGCTCAGCGTTCCAGACCTTCTCCGTGAAGTAGCACCCTGAGAGGAACGGAGGGGGAAGAGGGGAAAAGGGAGAGGAGGACGACGAGCCCTAAGAACAGTTGTTGTAACGGACTTATACCCCTTTTTTTACTACGAGTACCTGCGGGTTTATACACTTTGTGAAGAATCATGGTAATTATTGAAAATTAAAGCTCCATTCTTGGCTAGCGAGTAGACGCTTACCTCCTCTGTCGACGAGGAGAATGTGAGGAAGCTCAGCGGACGATTTCCTGCCGTAGTTACTCCGCGACGATTTGCACATCTGCGGGTCCTTATCGGGGTAAATTACCACTCCCTGGAGAGATGCTCCGTATTGAGGCGTTCCGAAATTCGCTATAGCGCTTTGGTACTCCCCCTTGATGTTTTCGGGAGACGAAATCACCAGGCTCTGCATTTCCACATTGAAACTGCATTTTGCTCGTGGAATGCTCGAGCTGAGAAGGCCAAGCGTAAACATTAGTATTAGTAACCACATGGCCATGGTGGTAATAAAGTCGCGAGGAAACGGCGGGACTAAATTCCACGAGACGGCGACACACAGCTAATGTACCTGGAATTCACTGCAAGCCCACCTACCCAGAATGCTCTGTCTGCACAGCAAAAAATTCTGGAAACAACAGGCGAGAACTGTACTGGTTCAAGAATCTGACGAATGTTGCAAGCGCAACTCCAAAAAGTTGGTTCAAAACGGTTCCATGAGGTTTGTGTACGCTGTACAGCGATCCGTTGTACCACCGGGATGGTTGGGTAGGGTATTGAGCGAGCTGGAAGCGAGAGGCTCGCCTTGCACCTTTCGTTTCCTCTGGTTTTCCCGCGCTTCGTTTTCGATTCACGCACCACGGTTTTGTATGTTCTGCCGCGTTCCAAAGCGGTACATATTGAGAATTTGTTTCGTGACTGCCAGAGGTGGAGGTTGTGCTGATGCACATCACGAAACCGAGTCTCGATGTGGAGGTAGTTTCTACACTGCACGGCCCCAAATGGCGATGACTGTCTCGTGATTCTGAGTACACTGGCTACGAATGCGTGTTGGGTAGCAGTTCAGATTTCAAAATCCCGCGTCACAGAGAACATTTTACGAGCTACTACGAGTAACCCCAACTGAAATCGAACACACAAAACAGGCCCCAATCTGAGGCTGGTTCTGGAGGCTCGGGCAGTAGCTTAGGCTCGGGAGTCAAAACAACCTCCACACCTTCCCCAAACCAGACACGTCTGTCTCACCAACCACTGCGACGAAGCAGCGTTGATTTGTGGTGGGTACAACAACACCCAGAATATACTCTTCACTAGCTGACTCGTATGGGTTCTTTTCTGAATACCTATATAGAATTTTGTGTTCCCAAACGCATACTGTCAAGAGGCAATTTTCAGGATTTTGTGCTCATAACCTTTCGATATACTGAAGCCCGTCGCTAGGCAACTTTTTGCGAAATGCCTTTGGCGGCATTATCATGTCCGAATCGGCATCACCAAAATTCGCACCCAGCTGAAAGCCCATTTCGCCTAGCCGACTTTGCGGTTCGCCCATGTCAGGAACATCAACGGGGAATCCGCTGGACCGCGCACGGTGCTTCATGTTTGGTGATCGCGCCTCGGTGTCGTTTCCCCGTCGAGTTCTAGTGGGTGTCCGCATCACGAGTGTGACACCCATGCGCGAACAGCTCAGCTGGCAAGTTGTGAGAGAAAACCATCTCGTAACCCCGTCGTAATCGTTCGTCTGCGTTCGTCAAGCTCACCTGCACACAACCCTCCCTCAAGCTGGTCGTCGTTTCCTCCACCCCTCGTACCACCACTTCCAACGATCGCATTGCCCAACATTCCCAGCCCCAATCACTTCGCTCATGTGATTGCCCTTACCACATCTTTCACGTACTTCCAGCTTTAGCGCCATTTTCAGCATTAGAGCAGCAGCACCCAACATCCGACTCTGTGAGCACGCTGGGAAACTTAGACTCGCAGCCCTGGTTTACCCAACCCATCGTAGACCCGCTTGAGCGGGAGAATTCATCCAGCAGGCTGGTAGCTTCACGATAGACATGTCGCTTTCCAGGGATGCAGCGGTTTCCGTGGGACTCGCAGTGATACTGTTCTGCCTCGGCGCATCGTGTTTCCATGGTGATTGTTGATCCTACTTTCTCATATTTGACTGCTTTGAAACGCGGAGAATCGCCCTCATGGAAACCATCGATGCTGTCCTGGACCTGGTGGTCAGATAATCTGCTCTCCGGCTCCTTAGTGTCACTTGCATTGAACCATATTGCGTGACCTAAAAAACCAGCCTGGACATTGGATATATAACATTCCTCTCGTGGCTTCATCTCCCCTCCTTCTCTAAAAATACCACTTCCATCCGTCGCTCTCCACAACCTGCTTTCCGTCGAAACGCATGCGCAATATCTCCAACAGCCTGTCAGAGCCCCTTTTTTTCACGAACACTGTATCTTCCAGTCCTCTCCACTTCCCTTTGCCAAAGCTGCCATCCTCTTCGCCGTCCACCCCCTCCTCCAGTTATGCTCCTCGTCTCACCTGCCGCGCGTGACTTGCGCCTCCCGTTGCTCCTCCGCTTACCCCGTAACTCATCCTCATTCCTTCCTCTTCTCACATGTAGTGCAAAGTGACCATCATTCACTCTTTTCCCCTTCCCCCTTTAACGCCCCTCCTTTTCCTTGCCTGACTACCTTTCTCTCTCTCTTTTTTTTTCCCCTCGTCCGTTCCTACTTTCCCTATCAGGCGCCACCGCAGCGAAACTTCTCCCAGAAAACGTGGTGCAAGGAGGGTACGGCCCGGTCCTCGTCAAGGCCCTTGGGATGAACGCCTCGCTCGATTGGACCCTCACGCAGAACGGGAAACCAATTGATGTCAAAGTAAATGCAACGGTCAAGTCGGCCAGCGCGGGCCCAGCGGTGAAACCGGAGAAGGCGTCCGTCGAGCCGCCAGTCTTCTCCTGCAAAATCAACGTCACGGGCAAGGTGAAGGGAAAGCACTCGTCGTTGTTTAACCCGTGGGATCCCTGGACGCGAGTGGGGCTGTACAAGGGCAAGAAGGGGCTGTACGGGCAGATTATCAGCCGGAACATCACAGGAGAATGGTCGTCGGTTGGGTTCCGCGGGCGGATTAAGGTTTTCACCGGGAAGCTGAAGTTGAGTAAAGCGAATGCTTCCGCTATAGCGAAAGCCCCGGCGGACTACTACGTGCAGATCACGTGGCCACCGAAGAAAATGTCGGATTGGTATTTCACCATCAGAGGTCAATTGGCGTAGTCCGCCTGCCGTGTATTGCGTATCGCACGGGATGTCGGTTTTGCTAGCGGAGGATCAGTCATATAGAGTCGCGGAAGCAGCAGAATCAGCACTTTGTGTAATAACCTCGCCTCGCCTCGTCTCGCCCCGCCTCGTTTCGCCCAATCAACTCGCCAACTTCCAAGTGTCCATGGGATTTATCTGGAACCTCGCTCGTTCCCTGGACGTTAAGTGTCAGCACTCACTAGAGTCATCACGGCCTTATGATAAGGGAGACACTGTAGTGCGTCGATTTGAGGCACTGGACGAGAGTGAATTGAGGCATATTATAGGTGGCGTGTAATTTTTGTTGTAGTCGTGACATGACAACTTATGGTGTTTTCTAGGTACTCTGCGTTCTTCTTTCTGCTGGGTATGTTAGTTGCAGCTAATTTGGCTAGCCTATGTTAAGGAATTTCATTAGCTGGATTGTTCCATGCTGTATCTTGTATACTCAGAGTAAAAGTATTTGGAATTACCTTTTCTGTCTACATTGGACCAACCTACAATTGCGAATGAATGCATATGAAATTCTCAAAATAGCACTGAAGTTTATTATAGATTCCACAGATCTCTTCGATACTGAGGGTGCGTTCCTGTGGAGACACTTGTGTCTCAATCCCCTTTTTTCCGAGTCGCGTCTACACATTTTTGCAATCTCGCGTCACAAAAAATGAGTGTATCACGAAACTGTGCGACCAGGCGAAATTTACAGCTGTGCTCACTTGATTGGATTTCAAACTTGACTGAACACCTGCTTCTTCAACTGTCTGGTTCGGGTGGTGTTTTGACGAGCGGAACTTTTTCCCGCGCGAGATTTTTACTATGGAATGTCCAGGTGCATTGACATTTCGAACCGCGTACAGAGTTGTTGACAATGACGGGTCGATACGCAACTCGTCCGCGACATCAGCGCGTTTCACGCTGACAAATGAAAAATACATTAAAAGTCGCACAAGGGCGACACGCGTTTGTGACATTGTACGTTATAAGCTGGTTTTACGCGTCACAAAAGGATTGAGACACAAGTGTCTCCACAGGAACGCACCCTAAAAGCACTACACCATTTTGACCGGACACACCCGCACACGAAATCGTTTTGCTCAGGCCTTGTAACGAATATTTGTCCACGCTGGCACATCGGTGGCTCGGGAAAAGCCTATGTGGAGGGACGGTAGCTTCCCGAAGTCGCCAGAGTGGAAAATCAGAGCGGCTAGCCACGTCATTCCCTTAAACATTTGCCACGTCAAAAGCTCCTTTTTTCGGAATATGGGAGGAGAGGAGCAAGCAGAATCGTCGCGGGCCAAATTTATCCAAATCTGCCCGAACATCAACTACGCAGTGTACTGGTTCCAGCTCATCATTCATATCTCCAGCAGTCGCCGTAGAGAAGGGACTGGAAACATGCTTCGCTATAAGTACTGTTTGGACTTTCCGAGGTCCTCCTAACGGGCTCCTACATTTCCAGATTACGGTTGCAGTGTGACCGTGGCTATCCTATCCTTCTGACCACCACCACCCTCTAGACAATCCCACCCCAAGTCCATTTGCTTGATAAATGACGACGGGCTTTCGCAACTGATGGTAGCTTTATCCGTCGCATTCTCCAAGTCACTTTTCTTCCTTCGCGTTATTCCGTCGACGAATCTCGCTTCGGCGTTTCGAATTTGATACAAGATCTGGTAGCGCGTTGCTTCATGAGCCTAGCGCCCAACCGCGGTTTACTCTAAGCACGGCCCGGTCGGATAGCTTGATCTCGCCAGCTGGACACGTTTTGTGTGCTTCGCTTTTTCTCTCGTCGTCTCAGCCCCTCCTGCCAGACACCCCTTAACAGAGTTCCATTTACTCCTAGCGTCAGCCAATCATGGGGACCGCAACGTTGGCTTCGCCGCTTGCGCGGCTCCACGCTACCGTGGCTCTGTCGTCTGGCTCCGAGAGACGAACGATAAGGTATGCGTCGACGCAAATGTCACCTTGCTTGCGCGGCTCCACGCTACCGTAGCTCTGTCATTTGGCCCCGAGAGACGAGGGATCAGGTCTTGTCTTCTGAGTTGACTCAAATGTCACCTCGCTGCTCAGCTCCACGCCACCGTGGCTCTGTCATCTGGTTCCGAGAGACGAACTATCAGTCATTGTACCAAACGAGCACCTTTTTTTTAGTTGACTAGAAGGCCTTCATGCTACCGTGGCTCTGTCGTCCTGTTCCAAAGAGCGTCCGCTTCCGAGAGACGTAACGAAAGAGCGGCGTTTGAATAAATAGCTGCCGTCCAGTTCTTAGGGGCGTTATCTCAAATATTTGAACCGTCCATGTTAAAACATTGGGTACCAGCACGAGATGCGTGGTTCTGTTTTCATATTTTCTTCTCATGCACTTGCGGATCCATGCTATTTGCCGCCTTTTCCCCCACAGCCTTCCTTCCCCCCACCACCTCCTCTCACCACCACCACCCCCCCCTCACCCCCACCCCCTCAAAACAGCCTGTCATCCGTCGCTTGCTCGTCGTCTCAGGCGACATTCTTCAGCGGAAGCGGCGGGACGAGAAACGCCTTCCTGTCCGCCTCCGGTCGCGGGGCGGAAAGGCGGAGGGGGAATGCGCTCGTGGTCCGCGCAGACGCGGTGAGTCGGAGATTGAGTCGGTGCGATGCGGCGGTGTGCGTCTGAGAATGTGATACGTGGGACGGAGATAGTCGTAGGCGGCGCGCCAGAGGTCAAATGCGATCCTATGCGATGGGAGTCGGTGGTGTGAAAATGAGTCAGACCATCACGTACTTGGGTCATTACCGATACCGACCCCTACCAACCGAGCCAGGCCACTTCCCGAATCAGAGCACCGTTTTGTGAAGTTTTCGATTGAGATGAGAACCATCGCGCGAGCTTGCTCAAGCTCGACGTCATAGTCACAAGGGCAAACTAACAATCAGTCGAAATCGTACAAGGAACAATGATGGAGGACTAGTGCTCTGCGTGATAAGAGACTCATCATAACAAGTCGTATTAGGGGGCAAAACGCGAACGAAACGCGCGAGCGTCGTGCGCGCTTTACTTCGGTGCGGAGGTTAGCGAGCGGCAACGTCTTATTGCATTTGTGTTCTTTTGGGTGTGTGCGTGTATGTGCGTGTGTATTATCATCGTTTTGCTGCAATGCAGGACTACTATTCGGTGCTGGGTGTAGAGAAGAACGCGGACAAGTCACAAATAAAGAGCGGTACGTACGAACAGCACAGCATTGCACTGCACCGCACTGCATTGCCGTTGCACTGTACCGCACCGGTGTGAGTCGACTGATAAGGCACCTCGTCCCAGCTGTCGCGTGTTATCAGCGCTCCTCAGCACGGCCATTGCCTCGCCTTCCTACTCCCTCACGTTAACCTCCATCCATCCCCGCTTCCCACTCCCCATTCCCCTTTCCCCAACCCGCTCTCCCCCCTTCCCCCCCCCCCACTCCCTCTCCCCCCTTTCCCCCACCCCAACCCCCTTCCCCCTCCCCTCCCCTCCTCCCCCGCTCCCCCACCCCTCCATTCCCCTCTCTTCTACCTTGTCTTTTCAGCTTATCGACGCCTGGCTCGCAAGTATCATCCGGACGTGAACAAGTGAGTATTAGGGCGTGTTCAGGTTCATTTGGGTATGCCCAGGTGCATTATGAAAGCAGTCAATTCAGGTTTACCAGTAAAGCATTATCCTAATAAAACTTGTAACTCCAATTGTTCATTCTTTTCTCTATCCATCGCTCCTTTGCGTTGCTACACTGAACAGGGCACCAGAGGCGGAGACCAAGTTCAAGGAAATCAGTAACGCGTATGAGGTAATTTTTCCCCTGCCTATAGTGCACACACATTCCCAACCTGGTAGAAGGTGTGGCAGTCTTGCGAACTCTGTCTTGTTTTTCAAAGCAGTTTTCTTGTCCTGTCCTTTCCTCTCTTTTCTTCGCTACCCCCTCACTTCCCCTCTCCCTCTCTCTTCCCCTTCTCCCTATGCGCGTCCCATTCTCGATTCCCCTCCCCCACGCCACCGGGTTGCTGTACAACAATTCCGGGGAGGCGGGCGTCAGGTGTAAGGCCAGTGCGGCACACCCTTCCCTAACCGTTAGCCATCCCTCCCCCGTCCCCCGTCCCCCGTCCCCTCTCCCCCACGCCACCAGGTGTTATCAGACGATGAGAAGCGCTCGCTGTACGACAGATTCGGGGAGGCAGGTGTCAAGGGCGGCGCTGGCTCGGTATGTCTCTCCGTCCTCTCCCTCTCCCTCCTCTTCTCGTGGTGCTGCTCCCTTGTTTGCCCTTCTCCCTGTCATTTTGAGTCGACTCAAAAGTCATTCGGGGAGGCAGGTGTCAAGGGCGGCGCTGGCTCGGTATGCCACCCTCTCTCACTTCCTCCCCTCCTTTAGTCGCCCTCCTCCCTTCTCTGCGCTGTTTCCCTTTTTTTTATCTCCTATCACCTTCGCCGTTTCTCCTTCCATCGCTCTTTTCTCTCATGCAATTGCCTAATTGCCTTCACCACGCTGCCCTGCCCCCATTGCCTTCTCTCCGTCGCCCTCCCCCACATCGCCCTCCCCCACATCGCCCTCCCCCACATCGCCCTCCCCCACATCGCCCTCCCCCACATTGCCCTCCCCCGCATCGCCCTCCCCCACATCGCCCTCCCCCACATCGCCCTCCCCCACATTGCCCTCCCCCACATTGCCCTCCCCCACATCGCCCTCCCCCACATCGCCCTCCCCCACATCGCCCTCCCCCACATCGCCCTCCCCCACATCGCCCTCCCCCACATCGCCCTCCCCCACATCGCCCTCCCCCACATCGCCCTCCCCCACATCGCCCTCCCCCACATCGCCCTCCCCCACATCGCCCTCCCCCACATCGCCCTCCCCCACATCGCCCTCCCCCACATCGCCCTCCCCCACATCGCCCTCCCCCACATTGCCCTCCCCCACATCGCCCTCCCCCGCATTGCCCTCCCCCACATCGCCCTCCCCCACATTGCCCTCCTATGAGCTGCATGGGTGGGATGGGATGCTGGCAATTTCATTATCCTTCTCCTGCTTCCACCATCCTTTCCTCCCCAATTTCCGCAGGAGTTCAATAACCCGTTTGACCTCTTTGAGACGTTCTTTGGAGGGCGAATGGGAGGCATGGGCGGCATGGGCGGCATGGGGGGAATGGGAGCTCGGCGCACAGCCCCCGTGCAAGGGGACGATGAGAGGTGAGACAGGGGGGAGGTGAGATGCGGGGAAGGGTTGGATGGGGGAGGACAGGACTAACCGGAATGGGGGGCATGGGAGGCATGGGGGGAATGGGAACTTGGCGCACAGCCCCTGTACAAGGGGATGACGAGAGGTGAGATGGGAGAAAGGTGAGATGCGAGTAAGGTGAGGGAGATGCATGGTAGGTAAAATGTGTGGGAGGTGAGAGCCCGTTCGGGGCAGAGAAGCCGATAACCCTCCGCCCTCCGCCCTCCGCCCTCCGCCCTCCTCCCTCCGCCCTCCTCCCTCTGCCCTCCTCCCTCCTCCCTCCTCCCTCCTCCCTCCTCCCTCCTCCCTCCTCCCTCCTCCCTCCTCCCTCCTCCCTCCTCCCTCCTCCCTCCTCCCCCCTCTCCTCTCTCCTCCCTCCCTCCTCCCTCCTCCCTCCTCCCTCCTCCCTCCTCCCTCCTCACTCCTCCCTCCTCCCTCCTCTCTCCTCCCAGGTACGATCTGATGATTGACTTCCTGGAGGCAGTCTTTGGCTCGGAGAAGCAGATAGACGTGTCGCGCATGGAGGCCTGCGGCACGTGCAAGGGCACGGGGGCCAAGGAGACTTGCCACTCATTCATCTCTCCCTTTCTCCGTCGCACTCCCCCTCGGCCCCCCCTTTCTCCCGCCCCGCTCCCCCTCCATCTGCTGCCCTCTGCCTTCCTCTCCCCCTCTTCCCCTTCCTCCCTCCCTCCCTCTCTCCCTCCACCCCTCTCCCATCCTCCCAGGTACGACCTGACAATCGATTTCCTCGAGGCAGTCTTCGGTTCGGAGAAGCAGATAGACGTGTCGCGCATGGAGGCCTGCGGCACGTGCAAGGACTCGGGTGCCAAGCCGGGCACCAAGGGGACATGCCACTCACTCATCTCTTTCCTTCTCCGTCCCACTCCCCCCTCGCCCCCCTCTCCCCCACTCCCCCCTCTCCCCTGCTCTATTTCGCTGTGCCCCTCTCCCCCTTCGCCCCCACCTCCCCTCTCACCCTCCCCTCACTCCCAACCAGGTACGACCTGACAATCGACTTCCTGGAAGCAGTCTTTGGCTCGGAGAAGCAGATAGACGTGTCGCGCATGGAGGCCTGCGGCACGTGCAAGGGCACGGGGGGCAAGCCCGGCACCACCCCCACCACCTGCTCCTCCTGCAACGGCCAGGGGCAGGTCGTATCTGTGGCCAACACCCCGCTGGGCATGTTCCAGCAGGTGACCACGTGCCCGCGGTGCGGCGGCAGTGGGGAGATTTCGACCCCCTGCAACACGTGCAGCGGCAGCGCTCGCGTGCGCAAGTCCAAGCAGGTCACACTTAAGGTGCGTTGTCCAAGCAGGTCACCCTTAAGGTGCGTTGTCCAAGCAGGTCACCCTTAAGGTGCGTTGTCCAAGCAGGTCACCCTTAAGGTGCGTTGTCCAAGCAGGTCACCCTTAAGGTGCGTTGTCCAAGCAGGTCACCCTTAAGGTGCGTTGTCCAAGCAGGTCACCCTTAAGGTGCGTTGTCCAAGCAGGTCACCCTTAAGGTGCGTTGTCCAAGCAGGTCACCCTGTGCGTTGTCCAAGCAGGTCACCCTTAAGGTGCGTTGTCCAAGCAGGTCACCCTTAAGGTGCGTTGTCCAAGCAGGTCACCCTTAAGGTGCGTTGTCCAAGCAGGTCACCCTTAAGGTGCGTTGTCCAAGCAGGTCACCCTTAAGGTGCGTTGTCCAAGCAGGTCACCCTTAAGGTGCGTTGTCCAAGCAGGTCACCGTTAAGGTGCGTTGTCCAAGCAGGTCACCCTTAAGGTGCGTTGTTCCAGATGCAATGCCGTTCCGGCTGGTCACCGCACTTGGGCCGAAGCCCGGCACCACGCCCACCACCTGCTTTTTGAGAATTCTCAAAAACCGGCCGAAGCCCGGCACCCCACTTGCGCGCCAAGCCCGGCACCATGCCCACCACCTGCTTCTCCTGCAACCGACAGGGGCAGGTGGTACCGGCTGCAGGTGGTAGGTATTATCCACGCCAGGTGGGGACAGGGGCAGGTCGTGTCTGTGGCGGGCATGTTCCAGCAGGTGACCACGTGCCCGCGGTGCGGGGGTAGTGGCGAGATCTCCACTCCCTGCGGCACCTTCAACGTATTCTGCCCTACCACCCTCCACGGCAGGTGGCATCACAGTTGTCTTTTTCATCTCACCGCATGTAACATATGCACTGGTGCCAGTGCTCTCTCTCTGTCCCCTCTCACGCCCCCAGGTGCCAGCAGGGGTGGACAACGGCAGCAGGCTGAGAGTGCGAGGGGAGGGCAACAGTGGGTTGAATGATGCCAGTCGAACTTCTAAACCCTTTTTGTCTTATTTCTTCTTTATCTCCTCGTCCTTTCACACTCTCCAGGTGCCAGCAGGGGTGGACAACGGCAGCAGGCTGAGAGTGCGAGGGGAGGGCGACGCCGGCCTAAGAGGCGGGCCCCCCGGCGACCTCTACGTCTTCCTCTCCGTTCGCCCTGACCGCGAGCTCGAGCGCAAGGGAGCCGACATTCTGCAAACCCTCAAAGTCTCGTACCTCGAAGCCATTCTCGGCACCACCAAGCAAGTCCGAACAGTCGACGGGCCGGTTGATTTGAAAATCCCCGCAGGGACGCAGCCGGGGAGTACGCTGGTGATGGCGAAGCGAGGGGTGCCGGTGCTTGGGAAACCGAACCTGCGCGGGGACCATCTGGTGAAGGTTCAGGTGGAGATTCCCAAGGCGCTGTCGGGAGAAGAGAGGAAGCTGGTCGAGCAGCTGGAGGAGCTGAGCAAAGCCAAGGCCGGGTCGCGGTGATGGTAGAGAGAGGGGATGGGGTTGAGTGGGTGGGACTATGCTGAGAATGCCAGCAGAAGGGATAGTTGGGTGAGGCTGGCCGTTTGGGTGAGGAGAGGAAGCTGATTGAGCAGCTGGCGGAGCAGCTGGCGGAGCTGAGCAAAGCCAAGGCTGGGTTGCGGTGATGGTAGGGGGATGGTGGTGGTGGTGGAGAATTAGTGTGGGCAGGGAATGTTGAGGAGTCTGCTAGTAAGGTCACTAGTTCGCAGGACTGGCTGTTGTTAGGACATATTAGTTATAGCACATTGGCTCAGCTTTCTTATTGTGTTTTACTGAAGAGGTTTGAAAGCTGGCATGCATTAATTCTAGTGTATACATCCATCTATGTGAAAACATTGTGAGCTTAGATAGTGATTTGAGCTACATCAATCTCATGGCAGTAAATTTTCTTTACTTCATCACACCCGTTGAATTAAATAAATACACTACCGTATGGCCTATCCAGCAACAGTCAAAACACCAGGGTACAGGCCAGCCAGCCCTATGCCTGATTCTAGTCTATTCACAACCAGCCAGCCCAGCCACATACTCCGATAGTTTGGTTGGAGGCAGTACAAACAACACCAGTGAGATGAGATATGTACCAATTTCCGGCTGCTGCTGCTTCAAGGCATGCCCTGCCTACTCTGGCTCTCACTAATTGCGCCCTGTGGCCTCACCTCACACACGACCCGTCCAGCATATCAGCAAGGCACATACCGTATTACCCCGGATATAAGCGCACCTGCGCTTATAATAAAACAGTATTTTTTTGGGGGGTGCGCTTATAATTGAGTAAAAATTATAAGCGCATGCGCTTATAATATAACAAATACAAACATATATTTCAATGCACCAAATTGTACATCTCATCCTTCAGATTTCAATCGAATCGAAATTGTAGAAAGTCACATGTCAAAATCGCGCGCGGGCGATTCTTCGCGAGCGCCCAGAGGCAAAATACAGTGTAACACCTCACTTTGAGGGCGTGCCAGCTCGTGCTGACTGGACGCGCAGGATGTGAGAGGTCTTCGAAAGTCAATGTAAGCGAAAATGGGTTGTGGCCTCGCTGCAAAACTGATATTCGTTACCGTTTTAATGAAGAATTATAAATAAAATTACACATGCGCTTATAATATATCGGGGTTTTATAAGGGGTGCGCTTATAATTGAGGATCGGCCATAAGCGCATTGCTCCAGATACAAGCGCATGCGCTTTTAATAGGCCTGCGCTTATATCCGGGGCCATACGGTATCCATGAGGAACCCTCCTCAGGAGGACTGCCTCTTAGCCACATGCCCCGCAGCTCGTGACAGCAAGCCAAACCCCTAACGCGACCCAGGTTCTCGTACGGTATCTCACGACCTGTCCAGCATATCAGCGAAGCAAATGTCAACGAGGAACCCTCCTCAGGACTGCACGTCCAGCTGTCGCTCCCTCACCATACGCGCGCTCAATGGGGTAACCTTTTTGTAGGGAGTTTTTGAGAATTCTCAAAAACTCCCTGCAACACAGAATGTGTCTGTAAGCCATCTCCCATACACGAGCAGCCTTAAGATCTCAATCTCGCGATGGAGACGAATACCAGTACTGACAAGAAACCCTCCTCCAGTTGCCAAACTCCCTTGCCGCATACCCTGCGACTCATGCCTGTAAGCTTTCGCACTGCATGCAGGCTACAGCACCAGTTTCATGACCTGTCCAGCATGTCAGTAAGATACATATTGACAAGGAACCCGCCTTAGTCATATGCTCTGCACCTTATGACAGCAAGCCAGCCCCTATACGCGAGACAAGCTTTCTTATCTCACGACCTGTCCAGCATATCTGTGAGGTACATGTTCACGAGGAACCTTCCTCGGGACTGCCTCCTTGTCATATGCCCTCCAGCTCGTGACTGCAAGCGAACCCTTATATGCTTCACGAAACCGTACCGTGTATCACGACCTGTCCAGCATATCAGTGAGGTACATGTTCACGAGGAACCTTCCTCGGGACTGCACGTCCAGCTGTCGCTCCCTGGCGGTGTACCGGCCCTTGTGCAGCCGGTACCGGTACGTCACTCCCAGCACCACGTAGCTCGCGCCTTCAATCTCCACCGTCTCGCCGCATTGTGTGTTCTGGAGGGGAACGGAGGGCCATTTGGGGCGAGAGGTTGGGTAAGAGGGTGGATTCGTCGCTCCCAGCACCACGTAGCTCTCGCCTTCAATCTCCACCGTCTCGCCGCATTGTGTGCTCTGGAGGGGAACGGAGGGCCATTTGGGGCGAGAGGTTGGGTGAGAGGGTGGATTCGTCGCTCCCAGCACCACGTAACTCTCTGATAAAAAAGATGTTTTGAGACGTCTCAAAAGTCCCAGCACCACGTAACTCTCTGATAAAAGAGATGTTTTGAGACGTCTCAAAAGTCCCAGCACCACGTAACTCTCTGATAAAAGAGATGTTTTGAGACGTCTCAAAAGTCCCAGCACCACATAACTCTCCCCTTCAATCTCCTCTCTCTTGCCGCATTGGGTGTAACGAGGGGTAGAAAGGGAGTAATTGGATTGAAGTGGGGAAATTGCTCCCTGGCGGTGTACCGGCCCTTGTGCAGCCGGTACCGATACGCCACTCCCAGCACCACGTAGCTCTCGCCTTCAATCTCCACTGTTTTGCTGCATTGTGTGTTCTGGAGGGGGCATTAGGGGCGAGAGGATGGAGGAGTGGGGTTTAATACTCCCAGCACCACACAGCTCTCGCTATCAGTCTCCACTCTCTCTGCTGTATTGAGTGTCCCGGGGGAAAAAAGGGAGCATTTGAAGTGAGCGTGTCGCTCCCTGGCGGTGTACCGACCCTTGTGCAGCCGGTACCAATAGGCCACCCCCAGCACCACGTAGCTCTCGCCCTCGATCTCCAATGTCTCTCCGCATTGGGTGTTCTGGAAGGGGGAAACAGAGGAACATTGATGAATGGGGTGGGGGGAGTGGGTACGTCACCCCCAGCACCACAAAGGTCTCTCCTGAAAACTTTACTCTCTCTCGCCACACTGAGTGTTCCAGGGGGACAAAGGGAGCATTTGTAGTGAGCGTGTTGCTCCCTGGCAGTGTACCGACCCTTGTGCAGCCGGTACCAATAGGCCACCCCCAGCACCACGTAGCTCTCGCCCTCGATCTCCAATGTCTCTCCGCATTGGGTGTTCTGGAAGGGGGAAACAGAGGAACATTGATGACTGGGGTGGGGGGAGTGGATACGCCACCCCCCAGCACCACATAGCTCTCTCCTGAAAACTTCACTCTCTCTCGCCACACTGAGTGTTCCAGGGGGACAAAGGGAGCATTTGTAGTGAGCGTGTCGCTCCCTGGCAGTGTACCGACCCTTGTGCAGCCGGTACTGGTACGTCACCCCCAGCACCACGTAGCTCTCGCCCTCTATCTCCACCGTCCCACCGCACTGCGTGTTCTGGAGGAGGGAAAGCAGGAAATTTGGAGTGAGAGGGTGAAATAGAGGGTACGTCACACATGCAAAGCTTTCTTGTCGTTTTTGCTTTCCCTCCATCTACACCATCTCGCTGTATTGCGTGTTCTGGAGGGAAAGGAGGGGCTTAGATAAGATTCTGAATCTTTGAACACACATGCAAAGTTTTTTCTCGTTTTTGCTTTCCCTCTGAGCACCACATGTCCAATAGAAAACAGAGAACGGACAATGGACAAAATACACGTTGAATGACGGTCCATTTATTCCGCTTGCTGAATGGAGTGAGGCAGCCACTCGCTCGCTGCTACACTTTGCTTGATCTCCAACGTACCAGCTATCCTCGTTATAAGCTCACCGGAGGCAGGCAATGAATCCCCAATTCTCTGGCTGGTGGAGTCACAATCTTTATCGCGTACGGATGCTGTGCCACGTCAGCCTTATCGCCACCCGCACTCAGCGGACCACCACCCCTCCCCGCGTCACCATTTCCGCCTCTCTCCCTGTTTCCGCCTCTCTCCCTCTTCCCATCTCCCTCTCTGTTTCCCCCTCTATCTCTGTCGTAAGGCGACGACCTCCCGCGTCTACACTCCACTAGCAACAACGGCGCGCGAGGAGCTGACGCGGCAGCTGACGTTGCAGCAGTCTTCCTATCGTAGAGCGACACGTGTCCTGAAAATGCGGCTCCTGCTGCGATGCTTATGGTGCTACCTCCGGCTCCTGGCGCTCCTGGAATGCGTCCCGTGAAAACAGACTGAAGCAATGAGCAGTTGAAGACAGGGGCTCTTGGATGCGTGGAAGAGGGTTTCGATTTCAGTAAGCACCGCGATGGGGAAACGTGCATTTTGACGGATGGCTTGCTGACAAAACCTGTTGACTTCAAGCTTTGGTAATTGATAGAATGATGGGCGATAGATTCGCGCGAATGTGGTGAATACGGACCCACGCGTAGTGATGAGAACTTATCCGAATCAAATAGACGTGATTATGAGTGAATTCCACGACGGCTGAAACTAGCACTACTCGAAGTAAAAGTCATTCCAAATACCTCATTAGTTGCCTTCGGCTATTGGCTTCCCTCCTGCCGTATTCTGTCTGTACTCTGTCAGTTTTTCTTGAGTTCCGTCAGAAGCAGTACAGTCTGTTGGCGGTTTGGGAAGCGTGATTCGCCGAGCACAACGACTAGGGCGATGTTCGGCAGCACAGGGGATCCACCGAGGGATGGAGGGGGGGATCGAAATTCTCAGCTAGGGTTTCTAGTTCGGGGTGATCAACTCAGAGTCAACCAGCGTTGACTCCAAGTCTGGGGTCCAGTCGCAAGCGGAACCTTTGGGGGAAAAGGCGCGGATGAGCGACGCGGGAATTGGGGGCCCACGAAACTGCAGCCGCACGAAACGAAACTTCGCGAGCTGAACAGTTTTTTTTTCTCCCTGCCTCATTTTACTGCTGAGATGGGATTGGGTATATCACTTCCCGAAAACATTTAACACCATAAATTAAAATGAATGTCTTAAATGTCGTACTCACCCATTTGACCTTATTGAATACAACTGTTTTGCAATACATTACCGATGTCCGGTTTACCCGTCAGTTTAGAGTGTGGGGTACAATCATAAAACAATTTCGTGGTTGAGGGAAACCATTTTATATCCCCCGTGGGTGAAACCACTCACGGGAGTGCAATTTGGATTCCCTCGGCACTAGGGCGGATTTTTTCCGCCATGGGGAAGGTTTTGGGGGAGAATGCGGCGCGGGTTACCACCTAGCGTGGTGTTCGCGTCGCGTTTTAGGCTTACGCTCGACATTTTTTTCGCATTTTTCTAGCCTGACCGAAGTGTTTTGCCTGGTTCGTACTGGTCGAGCCTGGAGGCTCGCCATTTTGACCCTCCATCAAACCCCCTCCCCTGGCTGCCGAACACGCCTAGCTGTGAGCATGAACCAATTCCAAGGTGCCTGGACTGGAGAACGCGTGATTCGATCAGTAGTACACCAATCAATTGATCCCACCTGCGCTGGAGGTGCGTCAGTGTGTCGACGTGGCCATTTGTCATTTTGATGGTCGCCAGCACGGTCGATTGTCAAGAATGATTTTAGTAAGCCAATTTCAGTAGGTCCTTTCGTCAAACGAAGAGGTTTCCCGTAACGAGTACATCCGAAAGGGGCAAAAGTCCGTTTTCGTGAGTTTCAAAGCGGTCATTCCACCCACCAAGTGAGAGGGACAATCAACGGATGATCTTCCCGCCTGCTTCCTAACGAATCGCGTTTTACGCAAACGTCAAACCGCCAACCAATCACGTTCGGACCGCTTATCAACCCCAATCACGTCCACACCACCAACACGGGCCAAATCACCACCCCAACCAGGGCTCCATCTGACCGTCCAATTATATTCCCTTCACGCAATCCAACCATCCAAAATTTGACTTTCCTTTTGTGATTGGTCAGGTCACCGTTAGCTCTTTCCCCTTCCGTCCCGTCGCGGTTCGGCATTCTCAAAGCTCCACCTTCGTGCATTGGTTTCATCACGGCCATGTCGGCGCCATTTCCCGTCATCCCAAGGTGCGCCCTCGGCTCTCCCGACCGCAATTCCCGGAGAGAAATTCCTCTTCGAGTGTGCCAAAAGGGCCCTGGTTCGCTTCGCTTACTTCTTGGCGGCGCAGGTGCTATGCTAATGCCAGGGCTTCCGTGAGATGCGGCAAACGTCAAAAGCCAAGGCGAAAATTGCCGTCGTTCTGCATTACCCGTGGCTGGTGTGTCGTGCATAGGTGTCTTGAAACAACGCATTTCATCGGGCGTGAAGCTACTCCTTTCCGAAGCTAGTTAGAAACGACATTGTAGAAGCAAGCAAAGCAAATCTTTGCTGTTTTGTTCAACAACAACCTGTTTGGCTCCTACATCTTAGCCAAACCCTCTCCATCCAAACTCACCTGATCGGTGTCTCTAACCCTCTAATCGTCATTCTGACAATGACCAGATTGAGACGATCGTAACTCTCAGCAGTTGTCGACCTGGTGAATTTCGCGTGGATACTGACTCATTCGCCGCAAATTATACGCTTCTACTTACAACCAAATCCCATTCACTCACTATGGCGTCGCGGGTTGACAAGCTTCCGTCAAAATGGTTATTGATCCACTTTTTGGCTTCACTATCAGCCATCATACCGTCAGCCCTTGCCGTCGGCCTCTCAGCACAAGGCCTCACCAGAGTCAGAGAAGCTAAGAGGCCTTCGTTCGCGTTACAAGCATTCTCGCGTCCCGTAAGACGAAGCCTCGCCACAAGCCCGACGACAGCGGCAGTCGATCTGCTCGAGGAAGTGGCCGGCAAGGCGACGGCGCTGAACAAACGCATTTCAGAGGTCAATTACGGGGAACGGGACGCCATCGCCTTTCGAGGGGTCTTGACGGAGGTACGTCAAGAGTTCTGACGGTGGTAAAGTAAGCTTGGAGTCTACAGGCGTCACTCCCTCGCCCCTTTCTGCGGCCTTCAGAGCCGTTCTTATTCGTCAAGAACATTGTTCCTTATGTCGCTTGAATGGATTATGAACTGCAGTGCAGGAAGTGCAAGCTCGAAACATCTCGGGTTCTCTCGTTCCTCTCTCCCTGCCCTCACAGGCATCGCTCATCGTCAAGAACCTTGATTCCGCCACCAGCAACCTCGCCGAGGCCGTGCGCGGCGGCCCGAACAATATCGACCGTAAGGAGCTCAACGAAGCGATCGCAGCCGTCGGATTCGCGCAGTCGAGCGAGAACTACCTTGAGATTGCCTTGCAGGGAAATTTTCGCACCGTCAGCGACAAAACGATCGGGCAACTACAGACGGCTGCTGCCGCCCTGGGCGACGATCTCAAGGCCGTTCGAGCCGTCCTCCTTGAACTCAAAAATCTTAACATCGAGCGGGCCTTCTCCGCTGCGCTCTCGACGGATCAGTATCAGCCAACTAGCGAGGCTTTCGACCGGCACCAATCCCTGACCGAGGTGTTCCAATCCCAGCTCGCCAATTCCAATAACGCGGATAAAAAAGACAAGCCGACGCCGAAGTCGAAGGTAGACGTGAAGGGTAGGCCCGTGGGTCACCACCCCCCTGGCGTGGGTGGTAAGGGAGGGAAGAACGTTGGGAAGTACGAGCCAGAGAAGGGACACCACCCAAAGGGAAAGGGCGGCCATTCAAAGCCAGCCGATCAGAAGACCGTTAAGAGCGGCACTGCCCAGGGCAGTCAAGTAACCTCTAAGAGCCCACCTAGGAGCCCCGCTAAGAGCCCCGCTAAGAGCCCCGCTAAGAGCCCCGCTAAGAGCCCCGCTAAGAGTCCCGCTAAGAGTCCCGTGAAGGCTCCTATTAGGGCGAATACCGGGTACAGATCGGTCCGAACGGCGTCTGTAAAGGCGGATAAGACGGTCGCTCAAGACGGCAGCGGCGACTATAAGAAGCTACAGGATGCTATAAATGCGGTGTCGGACAATTCCGTCATTTATATCAAGGCTGGAGTGTACAACGAGATGGTGTCTATATACAAGAAGGGGATTACTCTTATCGGGGATGGCATTGACAAGACCATCATCACTGGGTCCGCTAGCTACTCGTCAGGATACGATATCATCACGTCTGCCACTATCGGTAAGCAGCTCCAGTTTTACATCACATGTGTGTTTTCAATCCAATGCTCATCTAAACACACGGGTGTTTCCCCACACCACCACCACCTCCAGGCCCACCCGGCCCCAGCTGTCTCCCCCCCTGCCCCGCCCTTCTCTTCGCCCCTTTTTTCATAATATGTCTCGCATCATCCAATCACATTCTCCCTGCGTGTATTTTCGCGTTGTTTTACTCTCTTCCCCCATCCTCCTCTCCCTCGTCTTTTGTTTCGCTACGCAGGCGTAAACGGTAACAACTTTGTCGCGAAGTACATGACCGTTCGCAACACTGCTGGTCCCGCGGGACTTCAAGCTGTCGCCCTGCGCCTGGACTCCGATCAGGCTGCACTGTACCAGGTCAAGGTTACCGGCTACCAAGATACACTCTTCTGCTCCACTGGCCGTCACTATATCAAAAACTGCATTATAGAGGGCACTGTGGACTTCATTTTCGGTTACGGCGCAGCGGTGGTGCAATCATCTACACTCAACGCGCTGAAATCTCCCACCTATACGACAACGGTTCTGGCCTCTGGGTGTTACCAGTCCGGAGCGCTCTGTGGAATTGTGGTGGTGGACAGTAAAGTGAATGGTGACTACGGCGATGTGTACTTGGGCCGGCCGTGGAAGGAGTATGCTACCATGGTGTTTATCAATACTGAACTGCCTGCGGTGAGTGTAACCATGATGTTGGCTCGTCTGAGCTGTGGTTTGCGTTCGTGTTTCCCGTGTGCGAATGCTCAAGTTTGTTGCATCTCCAGTATTCTGTGTTGCCATGCTCCTCCTCCCTCTTGCCACCATCCATTTTCCCATTTGTTACTATTTTTCACTCGGTTTGTTTTGCATTGTTCTGCGCTGTGGATTTGCAGAAGGTGAACAAGAACGGGTGGATGCCCTGGAAAGTCTCTGAGACGTTTGGTGGGAAGCCATTCTTGGCGGAGTATGGCAGCAGGGGCAGTGGTGTCCAGTCATCAAGAGTGTCGTGGGCGAGACCTGGCGTGGTTTCTTCATTATCACAAGTTAGCAAGTACTCGCCCAATAACTTCCTCTCTCTCAGCTCGTGGATCGGCAAGACAGGGATCCCAGCGTGACTTACCACCCAATGCCACACCATGTTATGAAACATGGTGCATTACTAGGATCTGGTCTCCTGAACTAATTATTTTGATGTTTCAGGGTCATTAGTCAAACGAGTCATTAGTCAGCTAATAAAAGAAACGGCTATTTCAAAGGTGGCTGTGACATGTGCTAATGAAGGAAGGAACGTCACTTGTTGCGATGCTTTGGAGGGACACGCTAGCTGTTCTCTCCCTGCCACTCAGGTCAGGAGAGAGAGGTCAGAATGATGATTTGAAATGATCAATGTGCAGCGTCCAGGATCAATGCTTGCTGCTGGCAGAAAAAAATATTACTCATCAAGAGTTCCAACACACAAGCCATGAGTGGGGTGATAAGAATCTGTCAGGGGTGCAACACGATGGATAAGGGTAGCAGTCGGTCAGAGGTGAAAACTGAAACCGGTAACCATATTGATTTGAAGTTCGCCGAATCCGCAAAATTGGTAGCCCGTTCTGGGTGAAGCGCAGTTGTCTTGTTCATCACCTCACCACCCCCACTGCATTTTGGAGGTGCATGTACGTGGCGCTCAGTGATAGGCCTACTCCCAGCCTCAAGGATCAAACTCACATCGTGATAGCGTGAGCTACACACAGGCACCGCACAATTCACAACTCCCTCACATGGCACGCAAAACCACGGAACGGACAGTCGTGAAACCAACAGGTGAAAGAGAAGAGGCGTGGATTTGGCCCTTGACCACAAGCCCCATCAATCAATCGCAAAACTTCGCGAACATCAACCATTGGAGGCGCGTACACGCGAGAACGATTGAGGAGCTTCGTTCATGTGGTTACCGTCGCATATCCCCCCTGATTCCTGAACTTCGTTCGCGACGATGTCCCACACATTCATCTGTGAAGCACCTGGGCTTATTTGGCTGACCCTGGCTAGAAGAATTATAGCAATGACATTCCGTGAGGTATCGTGAACTACGTATAGTCTTAGACCGACGTGGAAGGGAGCCGCAAAAAGTGTGACGAGCAATCACGGTGTTTTCTGAGATGAGATAGGGAGCGAGGTTGGATGTCTTTTAGGGTACAGCCGTCGAAGGAGGCTTAAAGTTAGTGATATTTGAGTGAGGATAACTGAGTGACTTTTGGTTGCTTGACTGGCAATTAACTAGTTGATCGCATTCTTTTGTTAATCTGCAGATTCACCTTTCCGCTGCAGAGTCCAGAAGCTTTCTCTATGTGTCATCGCACTGGTACATTCGGAATGGTCTTGCTAGATTTCGGGGTTTGAAAAATACAGGGGGGTTTGTCGGAGTTTTTTTTCAGAAGAATTTCACTATTTGGACATTCAGGCACCTGCGTAGCAAGGTGAGAGCTTCAGTCTAGAGACGGAACCACAGCACAATGCCTGGGTCTCCAGACGAACTTCGCTTCTAGAAAGAACTTAATTCAGTATTGGCTGTATCACCACCCATTGTGCAGTAATCTCCGCACTTGATTGGTGGCTTAAAGAGACTTCACGCACTATTTTACAACCCTTCTCCAGATGGCGACCGCGGCTGCTGCTGCTACTGCTGCTGCTGCTTCTTCTGCTACTGCTGCTGCTGCTGCTGCTGCTGCTGCTGCTGCTGCTGCTGCTGCTGCTGCTGCTGCTGCTGCTGCTGCTGCTGCTGCTGCTGCTGCTGCTGCTGCTGCTGCTGCTGCTGGGCAAAGCTTGTTGACTGGTGCTCACATGTTCGTCACCTCGCTCCTCTTCTCCATGGCTACTGGCCCCGGCTGGACCGCGAACGACTGTGAGACTCTTTGCATTTCCTTGATTGTAATATTTTCCTGCGTATGAGCTCCGTTGGCTGTGTGATACATACCTATGTCGTTGATGTGTAAGGGTTAAGCATAAGTCTGCCATGATGCGGTGATTCTGGCATGATGCAGCAATTCTGGCATGACGCAGTGATTCTGGCATGATGCAATGATTCTGGCATGATGCAGTGATTCTGGCATGATGCGGTGATTCTGGCATGATGCGGTGATTCTGGCATGATGCGGTGATTCTGGCATGATGCGGTGATTCTGGCATGATGCGGTGATTCTGGCATGATGCGGTGATTCTGGCATGATGCGGTGATTCTGGCATGATGCGGTGATTCTGGCATGATGCGGTGATTCTGGCATGATGTGGTGATTCTGGCATGATGCGGTGATTCTGGCATGATGCGGTGATTCTGGCATGATGCGGTGATTCTGGCATGATGCAGTGATTCTGGCATGGATACGTCGCTATCATCTCAATCCCCCACAGAAACCCGCTTGTCAACTTCCTATTATCCTTCCCACCCACCTTCGTTTAGCCTCCAGCCAGAAACTCATCATCCGTTCAACGGACGAAAATCCAATCCACTCCTTCATCCCAATCCCCTTCGTCCCTCCCTGCTTTCCCCCCTGCTGTGAAACGGTGTGACGGTGTGTCCCCCTCCTCCCCCCCCCCCCCTCCCCCCCCCCCCCCTCTCTCGCCCTCCCCAGTTCCTTTGCTTTTGAATCTTTCTGGCCAATTTCTGTTGCACGAATAACCTGTACAGACTTCTGAGGCGCCTCACAAGTCAACTTCTGTGACCCGAATGACGCGTACGGTCCAGCTGCATCATCACCAGCAAGCCCCCAAACACGCCCCCCGCCTTCTCAACACTCCCCCGTACAACCCCCTGCCTTTGCAGCTTTCCGGGCCAACTTTTGTGGCCCGAATGACCCGTACACTCCAGCCTGCATCAGCGGCAACCCTCTCTTCAGTCACAGCCACCAGTTTCTCCAACTGCAGAATGTCACACAGTCGCTCGTGGCACCGTCAGTATCACCATCCGGTTTCACACCCTCTCAAGCTAACGCCTTCCAGAATTCCACGTGGCACTATTCCCTTGTGCCACATCCGCAGCAGCTCCACCCGTTTTCCCCGGATACTCCCCCCTCGCTCCTCCACCCGTCCTCCCCTCTTCCCTGGAGCTCTCTCGAGCAAATTTCAGCGTCGTTTCAACGGGCAGGCAAAGAAAGTTTTCTGCCCAAATGGATCCATATATTCTCTCTCTCCCCCTGCCTCCAACACGCTTCCTTCCTCTTCCTCTCCTCCTTCCTCCTCCTCGCCACCCTCTCCCACATACTCATCCTTCCCAAACCTAATCCCGAACCTAGCGCCAAGCCAAACTACCAGCCCCGTAGAGCACAGAATGGTGAGGAGAGACCAGCAGGTACGGTGGAGAGGGGTGAGAGGAGAGTGAAGGAACGGAGACAAGGCAGGGCATGTGGGAAGGGGGAGAGAGGAGAGGAACGGAGGGAAAGGGGGGGACAGGGGGGAGGGGAGGTGTGGCGTGCAGGCATGCTGTTTTGGCCGGAGCTCCTTTTCTCTCTTGCTGCTTCTATCTGCTGGGCGGGGCTGCTTCTATGGGAGATATTTTCCGCCTTGTCGGCAACAGGCCACGTCCTTGTATTGCCCCACGAGCTGGCATACGCAGCAGGGCAGGCTGTCACGTACGCGCTGGCAGCAGCAGTCCTGCTGCTCTTCCAGAGAAGGCGGGATGTGACTGTGGTTGGGTCGGCACGCGTCTGGCTGTTTCAGAACGCTGTGCTTATGCTGCTGCTCTCCATGGTGATTCTGCTCCGGCTCTGGAGCAAGAGACAAAGGACGGATTTGTGGGAGGGATTTGGTTCGGGTCCTGGTTTGGAATTTGGTTCGGGATCGGGTTCTGGATCTGGTTTGGGATCTGGTTTGGGGGCTGGTGTGGGGTCTGGTTTGGGATTTGGATTTCGAGATTGGAAGGAGGAGAAGGTGACAGCGTGGAGCGATTTCCTGACACTTGGCAGCTTGCCATTGGCTCTTTTCTTGGGGGTGGTTGGTGTGCTAGGAAGGCCTGGTTGGGCTCGTTTGAACCGAGGAATGGGGGAGAGGCGTGGACGAGAGGAAGGAGAAGAGATGGTGGAGGAGGGGGAACAGCAGGAGGTGGGTGAGAATACTATTGAGGAGGGTTTGGGAAGTAGGGTGCGGAATGGGAGAGCTTTGCTTACGATTGAAGACGAAAGTGGTTCTGAAGAGGACAACGAGTCTGATACTAGTGAGGATGAGGAATGTGAGATGCTAGCGGGCATGCAAGAAGGAAACAGGAACATGCAGGCTTCTCCCTACGCCAGTGCAAATTGGCTGTCACACCTCGCTTTCTCCTGGGTCTCTCCTCTTCTCGAAACAGGCAACCAGAATCTGTTGCTTCAGCAGCAGCAGCAGCAGCAGCGGGATAGCCACAGCAGCGAGTTGGAACCAAGGGATCATCAGAAGCAGCATGTGATTTCACTAGAGGACGTGCCGAGCCTGCCAGCTTCTCAGGGCTGTGAGGCCCAGTTTCATGCCTTTGATGCGTGCTGGCAAACGCAGCTTGCACTGACTGCAGGCACTGCTGCTGCTGGGGGTGCCGCTGCTGCTGCTGGTAGTGCTGCTGTTGCTGGTAATGCTGGTACTGCTGCTGCTGATACTTCTGCTGGTGGTGGCACTGGTGGTGCTGATTCCACTATCACGACTCCACTGCTAGCGGGCCATCAGCACAAGCATCAGCATCAGAACCAGCAGCAGCACCAGAACCAGCAGCAGCACCGCTCCTCCATTCTCCCCCGTTTCATCACCAGCACCACCAGCAGCATCAGCAGCAGCAAAACGCCCTCAGTAGCCCGTGCGCTGCTGGCCTGCTTCTGGCGCCCCCTCCTCACCACAGGCCTGCTGGTGCTGCTCAAGTGTGCGGTCATGTACGCGGGCCCGCTGCTGCTCTCCCGCTTTGTGGACGTTGCTGCGGGCAAGCAGCTATTTCAAGGCGAGGGCGTGGCGCTTGTGGCGCTGCTGCTGCTGGCTAAAGCGACAGAAACGGCTGTGGGGCATCAGTTCAACTTCCAGACACAGGTGAGGAGTTGGGTGCGGTTGTGCTCTCTTTAGGATGGCTAAGTCCTCTCTCTCTCTCTTTCTGGGGGTTGCATGGGAGTGCAGGTACGGTTGGTTGGGTACGCAGTAGGGTGGGGAGAGCTGAAAGGCTGGAGGAGATTTTCTAGAATTCTCACTTTTTGAGGCGCCTCAAAATTCTCTAAACTTTCCTGCGTACGGTTGGTTGGGTGCACAGTAGGATGTGGAGAGCTGAAAGGCCCTTGCAGGTTGGCTTGGGAGAGCTCTGTTTGTGTGACAGACAGCCCCCCCCTCGCTCGCCACAGGGCAGGCCGGTCATGCACGCGGGCCCCCTCCTCTGTCTTCCGTGGGAGGGACAAATGTTCCAGTGTATGTTTTTTGAGAATTCTCAAAAAACAAACACTGGAGAGCTCTGTTTGTGTGATGTGACAGCCCCCCCCTCGCTCGCCACAGGGCAGGCCGGCCATGCACGCGGGCCCCCTCCTCTGTCTTCTCCTTCTTCTTCCCTCCTCTTCCCCCCACCTCCACACAGGCCCTGGGTCTGGATAGTCGAGCAGCACTAGTGGGGGAGCCCTCTAGTGGAAATATCACAAGGGCTTGCGGCTGTCGAGCAGGGCGAAGCAGCGGCACACAGTGGGCGAGGTGGTGAACTACATGTCCACTGATGTGCAGCGCCTACTGCCTCTGGCTGACTTGTCTTGTGATCTTCTCTCCCTCCCTGCCTTTCGCACTCAGGCGCTGGGTCTTGAGATTCGAGCAGCGCTGGTGGGAGCGCTGTATCAGAAAGGCCTGCGGCTGTCGAGCAGGGCGAAGCAGCGGCACACAGTGGGCGAGGTGGTGAACTACATGTCGACAGACGTGCAGCGCCTGGCAGACCTCATGCTGCAGCTGCACAACGTGTGGGTGCTGCCCCTGCAGATCGCCATCGCCCTCGTCATCCTCTTCCATGTGAGACCCGCACACATGAGGCTGAACGCGTGAGGCCTCACAAGGCTGGGTTGGGTTGAACGCACGCACGCACCCACACACCCCCCCGCACACACACACACACACACACACACGCACGCACGCACGCACGCACGCACGCACGCACACACACACACACACACATCGGTGGGGGGGTGGGGGGTTTGGGAGGTGGTGAACTACATGTCGCCAGACGTGCAGCGCCTGGCAGACCTCATGCTGCAGCTGCACAACGTGTGGGTGCTGCCCCTTCAGATCGCCATCGCGCTTGTTATCCTCTTCCATGTGAGACACGCACATACACATGAAGGGTAAGGTGCCAGACGTCACACCAAGGCTGTTCTTAGTTGCACGCACGCACACACACCGTGCAGCGCCTGGCGGACCTCATGCTGCATCTGCACAATGTGTGGGTGCTGCCCTGCCCGTGCAGATCACGATCGTGCTCGTTATCCTCTTCCATGTGAGACACGACACGACACGTATGCGCCTCGGACAAAACTAGTAGTGTGTAGGCGGATGGCCATGCCTGATATCAAATTTGTCTTGAGACGTCTTAGATAAAACTCAACCAACCCTTTTGAGATGTCTCATACGACTTAACGGTTGTTTTTCCTGCCAACCATCCCTTCACCCCTCTCCCCTCGCCCCCTCCCCCTCCCAGGTGGTGGGGGCGAGCATGGTGGCGGGGCTGGCAGTGATGGTGGCAGCGCTGCTGCTCAACCTCCTCATAGCGGCCTCTCTACGCGCCACAGTGGGGAGCATTCTTAAAGCCAAGGACCGCCGCATGAAGGCCACATTTGAGGCGCTTTCCCCTCCTCCCTTGCTCACCTCCCCCACTCCTCCCCTCTCCCCTCTCACCTGCTCCCCTCATCCCCTCCTCCCCTACCCCACTCCTCCCCTTCTCGCTCCACCCTCCCCTCTTCCCCCCCTCCCAGGTGGTGGGGGCGAGCATGGTGGCGGGGCTGGCAGTGATGGTGGCAGCGCTGCTGCTCAACCTCCTCATAGCAGCTTCTCTACGTGCCACAGTGGGGCACATTCTTAAAGCCAAGGACCGCCGCATGAAGGCCACGTCGGAGGCGCTCTCCTCCATGCGGGTCATCAAGCTGTACGCCTGGCAGCCCTTCTTCGAGAATCAAATCAAATCTCTGCGTGCTGCCGAGGCCAGTTGGCTGGCAAGGTATGTGCTGGGATGGGAAAGAGGAGGGAGGAGGGTTGGGTCGCTTCAGTGCTGTGGTGGTTGGGTCGCTGCTGTCGCCTCTGAGGCACGCCTGTCAGTCACCACATGAAGGCCACCTCTGAAGCGCTCTCCTCCATGCGGGTCATCAAGCTGTACGCCTGGCAGCCCTTCTTCGAGCAGCAAATCAAATCTCTCAGGAGCGCTGAGGCCGGCTGGCTTGCCAGGTAATGTGCTGGGGAAACTGGGGGGGCTGGGTGTGCCGCGCACGGGGCTGTTTTCACTTCCATCGCCACCTTCTCTAACAGGCTAACACCTTCTTTAAGGGGTGCTGAGGCCGGCTGGCTTGCCAGGTAATGTGCTGGGGAACCGGGGGGGTTGGGTGTGCCGCGCACCCTGGGGGCTGTTTTCACTTCCATCCCCACCTTCCCTAACAGGCTAACACCTTCCCTCCTTACCACTTCCTCCCGCCCTGCTCTCTCTCTCCTCCCGCTTCTCCCTCTCCACCCTCTCCCCCCTCTTTCCCCCATCCCCTATTCCCCGTCCCCGATCCCCCATCCCCGATCCCCCATCCCCCATCCCCCATCCAACCCTCTCTAGGTACATGGCGATAGGGGCGGCCAACATCTGTCTGCTGTGGCTGTCGCCTCTGGCCGTGTCGGTGGGGACCTTCGGCGCCATGGTGCTCGTGGGTGTGCCGCTCACCCCTGGGGCTGTTTTCACTGCCATCGCCACCTTCCGCATCCTACAGGTGAGAAGGTGGGGAAGAGTGGGAGAGTGGGGATTGGGGGTTGGGGTGAGTGTGAAGGGGGACAAGGGGGTTCAGCATTTCTCATAGTCCCACCTGCCATGGTGCTCCTGGGTGTTCCGCTCACCCCCGGGGCTGTTTTTACTGCCATCGCCACCTTCCGCATCCTACAGGTGAGGGGACTGGGAAGAAGGGGCGAGAAGAGGAGGGGTGGTGGGGATTGCAGGGTTGGGGGAATTGAAGGGGGACAGTGGGGGCGGGCATCAGTACTCGTGCCACTTGTCAAGGTGCCGAGTCTGTTTTCACTGCCATTACCGCCAAGTTCCGGATGGATTGGCGTGTTTCCCCACCTTCCTCATTCTTCAGGTGAGGGTGTTTACCACCTCATTATCTCGTTGGGGCCGCCGCAACAATCCCCCTTTCACCACCCTCCTCTCTCATCCCCTCTCATTTTGAGGCGCCTCAAAACTAGACTCGTTTTGAGGCGCCTCAAAACTAGATGCCGCGACAATCTCCCTTTCACCACCCTCCTCTCTCATCCCCTCTCTCCGCCCTCTCGTCTCCCTTTCCTCTTACAGGAGCCGCTGCGCTCGTTCCCGTCGGTGGTGGCGGCTCTAGCGCAGGCCATGGTGTCACTCAAGCGAGTCACCACCTTCCTCCTAGAAGAGGAGATTCAGAGCGATGCTGTGACTCGCGTGGATGGCCCGAAGGAAGGGCTGGGGAGTGGGGGACAAGGAAGGGAAGAGAGGAGGGATGGCGTGAAGGGTGTGGCAAATGATGTGGTGGTGCGGGTGCAGAATGGTGTGTTTAGCTGGGAGGGCGATGCTAGCAAGCCGACACTGAATGGAATCGAGTTGGAGATTAAAAAGGGGATGAGGGTGGCTGTGTGTGGAGCGGTGGGGGCGGGCAAGTCGAGCCTGTTGGCGTGCCTGCTAGGGGAGATGCCCAAGATAAGAGGCAAGGTGAGATGTGACAGTCTATTCCCTTCGGAAGTGTGTTGTTTTCTCAGAGATCTCAAAGGCAGTGGGGGTGGGTTTTCTCAGAGATCTCAAAGGCAGTGGGGGTGGGTGTGGCAAAGTCGAGCCTGCTGGCGTGCCTGCTAGGGGAGATGCCCAAGATAAGAGGCAAGGTGAGATGTGGCACCTTTTCCTGTGGGGAAGTGTGTTGCTTTCTTAAAAAAGCTTGAAAACGGTGGGAGCAGGCAAGTCGATACTGCTGGCGTGTCTGTGTCTTCTAGGGGAAATGCCCAATTTGAGCGGCAAGGTGAGAAAGTGACGCAATGCAAGGTACGTTAGTCGCTGTGTGTTTCTGGCATTTCAGGTCACCCTAGTGGGCTGCACGGCCTACGTGCCACAGTCCGTATCGATTCAGAACGCCACCTTTCCCTCCCCAACCCTTTCCCCCCCCACGTTGACCTCTCTTCTCCCCCAGCCCCCCACATTCTGGCATTCCAGGTCCTCATAGCAGGCCGCACGGCCTACGTGCCACAGTCTGCATGGATCCTGAACGGCACCGTGCGCCACCTCTCACCACCATCTCCCGCACCGCTCCACCACAACCTTCCCTCTTCCCCCCCTGTGCCATCTCCAGGTCCTCATAGCAGGCCGCACGGCCTACGTGCCACAATCCGCATGGATCCTTTCTCACCTGGATTCTGAATTCCAGGATCCTGAACGCCACTCCTTTCTCACCCTCCCTCTTCCCCGCGTTGACCTTTCTCCCCCACCTCTCCCCCATTCTTCCATTTCCAGGTCACCCTGGCGGGCCGCACAGCCTATGTGCAGCAGTCCGCATGGATCCAAAACGCCACAGTGCGCCACCTCTCCTCTCCCACACAACCTACCTTCTCCTCCACCCTGCGCCAATTCCAGGTCACCCTGGCGGGCCGCACAGCCTATGTGCCGCAGTCCGCATGGATCCAAAACGCCACAGTGCGCGACAACATTCTTTTCGGGCAGCCCATGGACCGGGCGCGCTACAGCCGGGTGCTGCAGCAGTGCGCGCTACAGCCGGACCTGGCGCTGCTGGCCCACGGGGACGCCACGCAGATAGGCGAGAGGGGGGTGAACCTGAGTGGCGGGCAGAAGCAGCGGATACAACTGGCCCGGGCAATGTATGCGGGGGGAGGGGGAACTGAGGCAGGGGGGACTGGGGGAGGGGGGACTGGGGGAGGGGGAATGGGAGGAGGGGAAACGAGGGAAGGGGGGCCTGAGGGAGGCATGCGAGATGGAGAAGCAGGAGGGAAGCACGGGGAGAGGGCGGATGGAACCGGGGTTGCGGAGGAGCAAGGAGGAGTGGACGGGCAAGGGGGTGATGCGGAGGTGTTTCTATTGGATGATCCGTTCAGTGCCGTTGATGCTCACACGGGCTCGCAGCTCTTCACTGTGAGTTTGCTGATTCACTCTGGATCAGCACTGCCACAGTACCACTACATACCAATACCCCCTATCCACACAAGCAACGATTTTCATCATTTTCCTTTGATTCTTACTTCCAGGCATGTTTTGAGGCGCCTCAAAAGATTCTTACTTCCAGGCGTGTGTGCTGAGGGGCCTGTGTGGAAAAAACTGTTTCGATATGCCTCAAAGAAAGGCAGACTTCCAACTCCCCCACCTTCCTCCTCTCCTCTCTCCCCTCTTCCCGCTCTGCTCTCCTCATGCCAGCGTCCTGAGGGGCCTGGCGGGGAAGACTGTCGTTCTGGTGACGCACCAAATGGACTTCCTGCCTGCCTAGACCTCATTCCCACCTTCCCACTCCCTCCTCGCTGCCCCTTCCTTCCTCCCCTCGTGGCAGGAGTGTGTGCTGAGGGGCCTGGCGGGGAAGACTGTCGTTCTGGTGACGCACCAAGTGGACTTCCTGCCTGCCTAGACCTCATTCCCACCTTCCCACTCCCCCCTCGCTGCCCCTTCCTTCCTCCCCTCGTGGCAGGAGTGTGTGCTGCGGGGCCTGGCGGGGAAGACTGTCGTTCTGGTGACACACCAAGTGGACTTTCTGCCGGCCATGAACCTCATTCCCACCTTCCCACTCCCCCCTCGCTGCCCCTTCCTTCCTCCCCTCGTGGCAGGAGTGTGTGCTGCGGGGCCTGGCGGGGAAGACTGTCGTTCTGGTGACACACCAAGTGGACTTCCTGCCCGCTATGGACCTCATTCTGGTAACCACCTCCCCTTGCTCAATTCCGTTGATTTGATTGAGCTGTTTAGAACATATTCTTCTCTTTTGGCTTACAAACAGCCTGGTGACACACCAAGTGGACTTCCCGCCAGCCGGTCTTGTGACATGATTTCTCAGCGAGCTGCAAACTTAGTCACGTGACGCATGGTGACTTTTGAGTCGACTCAAAAGTCACCTTGAGTCGACTCAAAACTCTTGTGACATGATTTCTCAGCGAGCTGCAAACTTAGTCTTGTGACACACCAAGCGGACTTCCCGCCAGCCATGGAACTCATTCTGGTACTGCCTCTCGCATGAACCCGTTGACCTGGTTGACTCTGTTGACTCTGTTGCCTCTGTTGACTCATTTGATTGGTTAGAGTATGTTTCGGCCTGGTGACACACACCAGGTGACCTTCCTACCTGCCTGCCAACCATGCACCTCATTCTGGTGCCGCCCCTTGATTGAATCCGTTGACTCTGTTGACTTGTTTCAAGGATTTGATTCTGTTGAGGCTAGGGTAGATGCCACATGTTCCGATGCCACGTGTTCTGATGCCACATGTTCCGATGCCACATGTTCCGATGCCACATGTTCCGATGCCACATGTTCCGATGCCACATGTTCCGATGCCACATGTTCCGATGCCACATGTTCCGATGCCACATGTTCCGATGCCACGTGTTCTGATGCCACTGGCGGCTGCTTCTTTTTTCCCGCACCCAACCCCCCCCTCTCTCTCCACACACTGAGGTGATGAGGTGGGGCAGAATCGTGCAGAGTGGGGGTATGACGACCTTCTGGCACAGGGGACGGATCTCTCCTCTTTTGTATCCCCACATACTGATTTCACTGGCGCCTCCTTCTCTCTGCTCCCTCCGCTCCACAGGTGATGAGGTGGGGGAGCATCGTGCAGAGTGGGCGGTATGACGACCTGCTGGCACAGGGGACGGATTTCTACTCCCTTGTGGACGCTCATAGAGATGCCATGCACTCCCTTTCTGCCAACGCCACTGCTGCTCCCCACAGGTGATGAGGAAGGGGAGAATCGTGCAGAGTGGGCGGTGCGAGGAGCTGCTGGCACAGGGAACGGATTTCTCCTCTTTTGTGTCCCCACATACTGATTTCACTGGCGCCTCCTTCTCTCTGCTCCCTCCGCTCCACAGGTGATGAGGTGGGGGAGCATCGTGCAGCGTGAGCGGTGCGAGGAGCTGCTGGCACAGGGAACGGATTTCTCCTGTTTTGTATCCCCACATACTGATGCGTATTCCCCTCCTGCCCCTCCCCACCATCGTCTCCTTCCCAACCCCCCACAGGTGATGAAAGAGGGGAGCATCGTGCAGAGTGGGCGGTACGAGGAGCTGCTGGCACAGGGAACGGACTTCTCCTCGGTATGAGGAGCTTCTGGCACAGGGAACGGACTTTTCCTCGGTATGAGGAGCTTCTGGCACAGGGAACGGACTTCTCCTCGGTATGAGGAGCTTCTGGCACAGGGAACGGACTTCTCCTCCCTCGTATCCATACGTGCTGCTGATGCCACTGATGCAGACTTTGTCCTTCCCTCCCTTCGTCTTTCCGTTCTCTTCCCTCGCACATGCACAGGTGATGAAAGAAGGGAGCATCGTGCAGAGTGGGCGGTATGAGGACCTGCTGGCACAGGGAACGGACTTCTCCTCCCTCGTGGACGCTCACACCGATGCCATGCACTCCCTTGCTGCCACCACCACCACCACCACCGCTGGTCCCGCTGCTGCTGCTGCTGCTAGTGCTGCTGGTGATGGTGATGCTGCTGCTGCTGCTGCTGCTGCTGCTGCTGCTAAATATGCCTCATCTGCTGTTAAAGCTGCACCTGCCTCTGCGGATGCAGGTTCTCCTACTCCCTCCCCCTCCTCCTCTGCTCCGCTCACCCATCCCTCGTCCATTTATTCTGCTTCATCTGATGTGGGGCGAGCCTCACGAGGCGATCGAGGCAAAGGGAAGCAGGAAGAGTGTGCAGAAGTGAGGGTGGTCGAGAGGCAGGACGAGGAAACAGGCACAGGGCAGAAGCACAGCAGCGGGAATGGTAACAGCAGCAGAAAGAGCAGCACTAGCAGGCGCAAGAACAAGGAGAGTGGTACGAAGGCGAGAACGGGCCAGCTAATTAGCGAGGAGGAAAGGTCATCGGGACGCGTGGCATTTGCTGTGTACTGGGCGTATCTCACCACAGCCCTTGGATGCTGGCCCATCCCTGCACTCCTATTGGTCCAGATCCTCTGGCAGGCGCTGCAGATCGGCTCTGATTGGTGGCTTGCCACCTACACATCCTCCTCCTCCTCATCTTCCTCTTCCTTTTCCTTCTCCTCCTCCTTCTCCTCCTCCTCCCCCCCTTCCACCACCATTCCCTCTTCTCTAACCCCCTTCTCTGTCACCACTTCCTCCTCCCCCATCGATCTGCTAGCTCCATCCATCTCCCAGGTGGGCTTTCTGCGGGTGTACGTGCTGTTGGCACTGGGCAGTGTGCTCTTTGTGCTGCTGCGCACGGTGGCAGTCTCCTGGATGGGGTGGGAGACAGCGCAGGCGCTATTTGCCCGCATGCTGCACGCTGTCTTTCGGGCGCCCATGAGCTTCTTTGACTCCACTCCTGCAGGAAGAGTGCTTTCCCGGGTGAGTAAAGCAGTGCGGTTAGTATGGGTACGCGCTGTGCGGTGATTTTTATATGCTGTTGACGCTGGGAAGTGTGCTCTGTGTGCTGCTGCGCACAGTAGCCGTGTCCTGGATGGGTTGGGAGACGGCCCAAGCCCTGTTTGCCCGTATGCGGCATGCTGTGTTCCGAGCCATGGGGGCTGACTTTTGAGTCGACTCAAAAGTCAACTCCTGGATGGGTTGGGAGACGGCCCAACCCAAGCCCTGTTTGCCCGCATGCGGCATGCTGTGTTCCGAGCCATGGGGAAATATGTTGCAGCGTATGTTTTTTGAGAATTCTCAAAAAACATACGCTGAGACGGCCCAACCCAAGCCCTGTTTGCCCGTATGCGGCATGCTGTGTTCCGAGCCATGGGGGCTGTGTTCCGAGCCATGGGGGCTGTGTTCCGAGCCATGGGGGCTGTGTTCCGAGCCATGGGGGCTCGAAGGCCGCATGAGCTTCTTCTATTCTACCCCAGCAGTGTATCTGGACCTCTCATTCCGCTTTCGCACTGTTCTCTTCTCTTCCTCCTCGCCATTCTCACTGTCACCTGCTGTGTTTGGCCCCCCATCCTCCTCCTTCCTCTCTCCTTCTCTCTCATCCTCCTTCACCCCACCCACAGGCGTCAACAGACCAAGCAACAGTGGATCTAGACCTCCCATTCCGCTTTGGCACGGTGCTCTCCCTGCTCTTCCAGCTGCTCGGTATCCTCTCAGTCATCCCCTGTGTTTGGGCCCCTCACTGGCCCCTTTCTCTCCGCTCCTTCACCTCATTCCTCCCTCACCCCTCCCACAGGCGTCAACAGACCAGGCAACAGTGGATCTAGACCTCCCATTCCGCTTTGGCACGGTTCTCTCTCTTCTCTTCCAGCTGCTCGGCATCCTCTCAGTCACCTCCTTCATCACCTGGCCTGTGCTCTTTGCTATAGTGCCCCTTGCCTACTTCTACTTCTCTTATCAGGTAAGCAACCAGTTGCCTCTGCTCATTCTCGGAACAGGTAACCGCTTGCTGCTCTTGCTTGTGTGTGTGTGTCTCTCTCTCTCTCACTTCTCCCACCTGCTCCGTACAACTCCGTCTTCTGCCCTGACATTCAACCCATTCACTGCATGCCACGTGTCCCTCCCTATCCGCCAGGAGTACTACCTGACCACGTCTAGGGAGCTCTCTCGACTGGATGGCATCACCAAGTCGCCCATCATCGAGCACTTCAGCGAGTGAGTGCATGCATGAATAGTGCTTAACTTGAATAATCGTCCAAGAACTCCTTTCTTATATGCCTCGCCTGGATGGCGTCACCGAGTCCCAAGCCATCCACTCACCGAGTGCCTGGATGGATGGGACTCCTTTGTTGAAGTTATCAATCACTTCAACAAGTCTCCAAGTGTCCCAGTTCTTCCTCTCTTTATCCCCATCCCGCCCACTCTCTTTACCCACCCAGATATCCCTAGCCGGAGCAGCGGTGATCCGGGCCTTTGGTGAAGAATCTCGGTTCGCACGCACGAGTGCAGCGGAGGTGGACAGCAACACGTGCGTGGCACTCTGCAGCAGAGGAGAGGAGCGGAGATGAACTGCACTGTGTGTTTTGAGTCGACTCAAAACACACGAGGAGAGGAGTGGAGATGAACTGCACTGTGTGTTTTGAGTCGACTCAAAACACACGAGGAGAGGAGTGGAGATGAACTGCACTGTGTGTTTTGAGTCGACTCAAAACACACGAGGAGAGGAGTGGAGATGAACTGCACTGTGTGTTTTGAGTCGACTCAAAACACACGAGGAGAGGAGTGGAGATGAACTGCACTGTGTGTTTTAAGTCGACTCAAAACACACGAGGAGAGGAGCGGAGATGAACGGCACTGTGGTCTCGTTTCTGTAACCCCAAGTGTCACTTTGACTCACAGTCTCTATTGCACTCACCACCACTCTCCCTCATTTTCCACCCATCCCACCCACCCAGGTCGCTAGCCGGAGCAGCGGTGATCCGAGCCTTTGGTGAAGAATCTCGGTTCGCGCGCACGAGTGCAGCACGGGTGGACAGCAACACACGCGTGGCGTTCTGCAGCAGAGGCGCCGTGGAGTGGCTGGGTTTCCGCCTCGAGCTGCTGGGCTCGCTGCTGCTCTGCTTCTCTGCGCTCATGCTCACGCTACTACCACCTTCAGTGGTGTCACCAGGTATGGATAGTGCGAGTGTGAGAGGGAGAGAGGGTGCGTGTGTGTGTACACGATCCACGTGCTCACCTCTATTGGGGTGGACCATGTGTGGCGTTCTGCAGCATTCGTTCTGCAGCAGAGGCGCCGTGGAGTGGCTGGGTTTCCGCCTCGAGCTGTTGGGCTCGCTGCTGCTCTGCTTCTCTGCTTTCATGCTCACGCTGCTGCCTCCCTCCGTGGTGTCACCAGGTAGGGACAGGCTAAGTGTGAGGGAGCGAGAGGGGGATAAATACAAGGACCAATTGAGGGGTCGTGTGTGTTTATGAGTGTGAACGTGCTTGACAAACACACCTGTGCTGGGGATTGTTTTTGAGAATTCTCAAAAACAATCTGTTTATGAGTGTGAACGTGCTTGACAAACACACCTGTGCTGGGGATTGTTTTTGAGAATTCTCAAAAACAATCTGTTTATGAGTGTGAACGTGCTTGACAAACACACCTGTGCTGGGTTGGACAGCAACACGCACGTGGCATTCTGCAGCATTTGTGGCGCCTCAAAAATCGCCGCTTGTTCTGCAGCAAAGGCGCCGTGGAGTGGCTTGGGTTTCTCCTGGAACTGCTGGGGTCGCTGCTGCTCTGCTTCTCTGCTCTCATGCTCACGCTGCTGCCTCCGTCTGTGGTGTCACCAGGTAGGGATACTGTGAGAAAGAGTGTGAGCTCGTGTAGGTGATCTGTCTCAGTGTCCGCTCACATTTGTTGGGGTCGCTGCTTCTCTGCTCTCATGCTCACGCTGCTGCTACCCCTACTAGGCACACCGCGCGTACCAGTAACCTGTGAAGGTTACAACCAATCTGCCATGCAACAAACAATCTCTCCACATACAATCCCGCAGATGGTTCCACTTTTTGAGACGTCTCAAAATTTCACTTTCTACACGTTGCAACAAACAATCCCTCCACATTCAGTCCCACAGATGGTTACACTGGGGTGCCTAGTCTCATCCCCCCCTCTCCTACTCTTTCTCCTCTCCGCCCACATCACCTGAATCTTTCGCGCTCTCCTCTTCCGGTCCCCCGCCCTCCTGCCCTCTCCTCCTCGCCCTCCTGTCATCTCCTCTTTCCCCCCCCCTTCCCCCAGGCCTAGCAGGCATGTCCCTCTCCTACGGCCTTGCGCTCTCGCAAGCGCTCTTCTTCGTGGTGTGGGCGTGGTGCTCCCTGGAGAACCAGATGGTGTCAGTGGAGCGAATCCTCCACTTCTCCCACCCCGCCGTGCCCTCGGAAGCCCCTCTTGTTATCGCCAACCACCGTCCACGGCCCGATTGGCCGAACAAGGGGCGAGTGGAGTTTCAGGATCTTCAGGTGAGTGAGATTTCTAAGGCGCTTAAAGAAAAACAGGTTCCCGGTGGGTGTGGTTTGAGGGGTTTCAGTGGGTGGTTTGTTGGGTTGTGATGAGTGGGTTGAGGGTGGTTCAGTGCGTTGTGGGCGTGGTTTTCCCTGGAGAACCAGATGGTCTCAGTGGAGCGGATTCTGCACTTCTCCCACCCCGCCGTGCCCTCCAAAGCGCCCCTCGTCCTCCCCCACCACCGCCCTCCCGCCAACTGGCCGCACCAGTGTGATGAGGGCATGGAGAACCAGATGGTATCAGTGGGGTGGATTCTGCACTTCTCCCACCCCGCCGTGCCCTCTGAAGCGCCCCTCGTCCTCCCCCAATTGGCCGCACCAGGGGAGGGTGGAGTTTGAAGGCCTTCAGGTGGGTGTGTGGGTTAAGGGGTCTCAGTGTGGTGCGCGTGGTGTTCCATTCCCAGACCTGCCCATGGTGCTGAAGGTAAGTCGACTTTTGAGACGACTCAAAACTCGACTTAAGGGGTCTCAGTGTGGTGCGGGTGGTGTTCCCAGACCTGCCCATGGTGCTCAAGGGCGTGAAATTACCAATCCCAGGAGGGCACAAGGTCAGCCTGTAGCTCGCATACGGAAATAGGTTCGACCTGGATCCAACAGGTAACTCGTCCTAATCTTCTCTAGGCTGAGCTATAGGCTAGTAGGGACTGAGTAGGTAAGAAATCTTCATTCAAACCTGAGCGTACGCGCGTTTCGGCCGGTGGCCTTCATCAGCCTGTAGCTCGCCTCGCACCCCAGCAGCGACAAGTCAACGGTGACTTTTGAGTCGACTCAAAAGTCTCCTCGAGATTTACCAATCCCAGGAGGGCACAAGGTCAGCCTGTAGCTCGCCTCGCACCCCAGCAGCGACAAGTCAACTAAGTCAACCAAGTCTTCTGCTCTATCTCTCCTGCCCTGCACCTCCTCTCCCTCCTCCCCAGGTCCAGTACCGGCCAGACCTGCCCATGGTGCTGAAGGGCGTGACTCTGACCATCCCAGGCGGGAACAAGGTTGGTATTGTGGGCCGCACTCTTGCCAGCACTGGCAGCGGCAAGTCAACAAAGTCAGCCAAGAATTCTGTTCCCTCTCTTCCCCACCTCCCCCTTCCCCAGGTCCAGTACCGGCCAGACCTGCCAATGGTGCTGAAGGGCGTGACTCTGAACATCCCAGGCGGGCACAAGGTGGGGATTGTGGGCCGCACCGGCAGCGGCAAGTCAACGCTCGTCGCCGCTCTCTTCCGATTGGTCGAGCCGGCGGGCGGCAGGGTGGTGATTGATGACGTGGACATTGGGAGCATCGGATTGGGCGACCTGAGGGGGCGGCTGGCGATCATACCACAAGACCCGACGCTGTTCCAGGGGTCTATCCGAATGAACTTAGACCCTGCAGGAGAATACAGTGACGCTCAGATATGGGAGGTGAGGCACCTTGGGGAAGCGGAGGGGGCAGGGAAGGAGGGGGTGTACGGCTGGCGATCATACCGCAGGACCCGACACTGTTCCAGGGGTCGATTCGAATGATTCTGGACCTTGCCGGGGAATACAGTGATGCTCAGATATGGGAGGTGAGTCTCCTTGGGGAAGGGGAGGGGGGAGGGTGGGGAGGGGAGGAGGGGAGGAGGGGAGGAGGGGAGGAGGGGAGGAGGGGAGGAGGGGAGGAGGGGAGGAGGGGAGGAGGGGAGGAGGGGAGGAGGGGAGGAGGGGAGGAGGGGAGGAGGGGAGGAGGGGAGGAGGGGAGGAGGGGAGGAGGGGAGGAGGGGAGGAGGGGAGGAGGGGAGGAGGGGAGGAGGGGAGGAGGGGAGGAGGGGAGGAGGGGAGGAGGGGAGGAGGGGAGGAGGGGAGGAGGGGAGGAGGGGAGGAGGGGAGGAGGGGAGGAGGGGGGGCATGAGATTGTTGATCATACCGCAGGACCCGACTCTGTTCCAGGGGTCTATTCGAATGAACCTGGATCCTGCGGGGGAATACAGTGACGCGCAGATATGGGAGGTGAGACACCTTGGGGAAGCGATGGGGGTGGGTGGGGGTGGCGTGGGGAAGGGGGGGTGTGCGGCTGGCGATCATACCACAGGACCCGACGCTGTTCCAGGGATCTATTTGAATGAATCTTGTTGAGGCGCCTCAAAAGGGGGGGCTTTTGAGGCGCCTCAACAGGGGAGGCTTTTGAGGCGCCTCAAAAGGGGGGGTGTGCGGCTGGCGATCATACCACAGGACCTGACGCTGTTCCAGGGATCTATTTGAATGAATCTTGACCCTAGGGGGGGAATAAAGTGGTACTCAGATATGGGAGGTTAGTCACTTCGGAAGTCGGCCGGGAGCTAGTGGCAATTCGGGCGACATTACCCCAGAAGTACCCCCCACGCTGATCTCGAGGTTGATTGATCAAGATAGCCTGCTCTGCTGTACATACATCCCATTCCGCCCTTTGTGACTCTTAAGTCGCCTAAAAAATGGGCGACTTAAGTCGCCTAAAAAATGGGCGACGTAAGTCGCCTAAAAAAAATCACGACAGCCTGCCTGCCCCCTGCCTGACATCCATCCCGTTCCGCCCTTTGTCCTGCCTCCCCTGTGTCGTCCTCTACTCCTCTCCTTCCTCCCTGTCTCCAATCCCTTCAATCCCCTTCCCCCCCTCAACGTAGGCACTGGACCGATGTCAGCTGGGGGACACTGTGAAGGGCATGGAGGCAAAGCTGGATGCCCAGGGTGAGCAGAGCATGAATAGGGTTGGGGGCAGTAGGCAAGGGAATATTTCGTTTGGTACCAAACAGGGTATTTGAGATTGTTTGGCGCCTCCAATGGGAAGGGTGGGGTGATGTTGGCATGGAGAGGGGAGGTTGCGACTGGAGCTAAAACGAAAGGGAAACCAAATAAAAGCCTTGCAAGGTTGTACTTATAGTTAGTATAGTATACTTTCCCGTTGAGTTCCAGCAAGCTCCCTCTAGTGTGTGTCCGTTTTCGTGTGTGTGTGTGTGTGTGTGTGTGTGTGTGTGTGTGTGTGTGTGTGTGTGTGTGTGTGTGTGTGTGTGTGTTTGTGCGTATGTGTGTGTGTTTGTGCGTATGTGTGTGTGTTTTGTGGTGTTGCCTCAAACTTTTCAGTGGTGGAGGGAGGGGAGAACTGGAGCGTGGGGCAGAGGCAGCTGTTCTGCCTTGGCCGGGCGCTGCTGAAGAACTCGCGGATTCTAGTGCTGGACGAAGCGACGGCGTCCGTTGATTCCGCCACCGACGTGGCGATCCAACGGACGATAAAGGAGAGCTTTGGCGGGGCGACGATCATCAGCATCGCGCACCGGATCGCGACGGTCATTGACAGTGACTTGGTGGTGGTGATGGATGGAGGTGAGTGATGGATGGGGGTGAGTGATGGATGGAGGTGAGTGATGGATGGGGGTGAGTGATGGATGGGGGTGAGTGATGGATGGGGGTGAGTGATGGATGGGGGTGAGTGATGGATGGGGGTGAGTGATGGATGGGGGTGAGTGATGGATGGGGGTGAGTGATGGATGGGGGTGAGTGATGGATGGGGATGAGTGATGGATGGGGGTGAGTGATGGATGGGGGTGAGTCATGGATGGGGGTGAGTGATGGATGGGGGTGAGTCATGGATGGGGGTGAGTGATGGATGGGGGTGAGTGATGGATGGGGGTGAGTGATGGATGGAGGTGAGTGATGAATGGGGGTGAGTGATGGATGGGGGTGAGTCATGGATGGGGGTGAGTGATGGATGGGGGTGAGTCATGGATGGGGGTGAGTGATGGATGGGGGTGAGTCATGGATGGGGGTGAGTCATGGATGGGGTTGAGTCATGGATGGGGGTGAGTCATGGATGGGGTTGAGTCATGGATGGGGGTGAGTCATGAATGGGGTTGAGTCATGGATGGGGGTGAGTCATGGATGGGGTTGAGTTGTAGGAACAAGGTGAAGCATGGAGGAAGGTACAGAATGAATGAGACAGTGCTTAGTGTGAGGCAGCACCAATCATCAGCGTCAGACACAGGATCATGACAGTCATTGACAGTGACTTGGTGGTGGTGATGGGTGGGGGTGAGTCGTGCGCATGGGACGATGTTGAAGAGGGTAATCTGATGGCGATGGTCATTGACTGTGACATGGTGGTGGTGATGGATGGGGGTGAGTGATGGATGGGGGTGAGTCGTGGCAACAAATTATGTTAGCTCCTCATCATCTTCCCCTTTCCTACCTTTGCCTCACCTTTGCATTGCCTTTGATTGATCGATTTACAGGAACCGTGGCGGAGTGCAACTCACCAGCTGAGCTCATGCGTGACCCTGATTCAATGTTTTCTCGCCTTGTGGCGGAGTATGCAGTCCGATCATCCGGCCTTGCAGACATTGCAAAGAGCCTATCGCTTGAGAGCCTTGCCAATGCTGCTCTTTCATGATGGTGCGTAGGCAATGTAGAAATTGCACAAACCCAAATGTTTATATCATTAACCCAAATCCCTCGTAGCTAGCTTCATCTGCCATATGCAGCTGCCATATGATAAGTATGGAAAGTGACCCAAGAAGCTGTTTTTTTTATCTTATTAATTGTTGACCATTCCATTCATACTAATCTTGAAGGGTATGGTAGTTTGAGTAAAATTTGTTGTATAATCCATTCAATTGTGCCAATTTCGGCATTTCCGAGGGAAGTCGCTGCGTGGAGTAAATCCCCCAACCCTGCAATTTCAGAAAGGTAAAAGAAGCGGTTGAGAGCGATGCTCTGCAATTTGAAACATTCTGTCGGCTTCACCTGTTTGAACCGCTATTCACCTGCCTGAAGATTGATCCACAAAGGCAAACCAGGCTTTTCAAGGCACACCCTCTTCCGCCTCTCCCTTTCAACCTTGGGATCCTATTTTTGATTCCTGCGCCTGTGAGACACACGCAGCGGATTTCCCGCAGAAGCTCGCCGTTAGCTCTTCGGGTGTACGCTCCCGTCGCGTCGTTCATTCATTCCGGTTTTCCTCGCAGTATCGCGACAATGGATAAGGTGCGTCTGTCAGGTAGGCTTAGTGTGGCTTCAGCTCCCCCGACGTGCATCGAAACCAAGAGCTTCGCCGTTCAGAATCTACCTTCAGGCGTTGAAATTCCCGCATTGTCATCGTTTCCGCGTGGCAAAATCGATGATGAGCAACCTTATCCAGAATATCCGCAGTCCTATCGTTGAAAAGATGGCATTGAACTCCGCCCTTCTGGGAGAGCCTCGTCTAAAACCCTGATCCTCGGGTCTGGCTGGCACCACAGGAGTTCCACTGTTTGCGCCGGCCTTACATATTATATTGGAGTGTTCCTTTATGGTTCTCAAGCTTGATTCCAACTTCCAATCAAGTTTTGCCGAATAGCGGAATATCTCTAACGCAAGTACCACGCTCTTCAGCTCGAGCGAGCATTGCAATGTCGATGTCAATGCCGAAATCGTTTTTCTTATCTTCGTCATCAGACTGTTGTTTTCATCTGCTTACTGTCTTCCTCATTCTAAGGCATCCTCCCGTTCTTGTTAATCTGTCGTTCCATTTCGTCTTTCTGCCTTTTCCCGAAGCTACGAAGGATAATGAAATAAAGTGAAATCCCGTTCTGCTCGTTCCGCGGTTCTTTTCGTCACACCCCTTGGCTCTCAACCAATCAGGATCAAGCCGCTCCTGCAGCAGAAACCGTCGACGCGACGGCTGCAGCTGCTGCTGACCTGTCAATCGCCGATAAGCCAGCAGCAGAGGCCACGGAGCAGAAGGATCAGAAAGAGAAGAAGGAGAAGAAGGAAAAACCCAAAAAGGAGAAGGTCCCTAAGGAGAAAAAGCCCAACCAACAAGGCGGAGGAGGCGGAGGCGGCGGAGGGGGGAAGAAGGAGGTGAAGAAGGAGACGCTGCTGGGTCTGTCGGTTAAGAAATCAGAGGACTATGGGAAGTGGTACTCGGAGGTGGTGGTTCAGTCAGAGCTGATTGAGTACTATGACGTGTCCGGCTGTTACATCCTCCGACCCTGGTCCTACTCCATCTGGGAAACCATCAAGGTAGGACTGGCTGACTCAACGCCTGACTGACGCTCAAGGTGATGCGAATTCTTTTGCGTCGGTCCTAACCCATATGGGAGAACATGAAGGCGGGAGGGAGATGTGGATGTGTGAGGGAGGGATGACTATGGGGGGAAGTGGTACTCGGAGGTGGTGGTGCAGTCAGAGGGCTCATCAAGTACTATGACGTGTCCGGCTGTTACATCCTCCGACCCTGGTCCTACTCCATCTGGGAAACCATCAAGTATGGCTGGCAAGTTCAATGGTGATTAGAATTTTGTTCTGATGTCGGCTCAGCACAAAGGCCGGGTCACCCCCCTCCGAGCCTGGTCGGTCCTTTTAGTATGCGAGACAAGGAAGGTGAGAGCGATATGGGGATGGTGGAGGGAGGGAGGAGAGGACTATGGGAAGTGGTACTCGGAGGTGGTGGTACAGTCAGAGCTCATTGAGTATTATGACGTGTTCGGCTGTTACATCCTCCAACCCTGGTCCTACTCCATCTGGGAAACCATGAAGGTATGGCTGTCACAATGTCGGTGTGTGACTGACATTCAAGGTTATGCGAATTCTGTTACGTCGGTAAAAAAGCCATTCTCTAGCCCTTCTCCCAACTCCTCTCTCTCTCTGCCTTGCCTCTCAGCCCTTCTACCATCTCCGGTTCCTTCCTCCCCTCCTCGTTTCCTCCTCTGCAGGATTATTTTTGACGCGGAGATCAAGCAGCTGGGCGTGCAGAACTCCTACTTCCCCATGTTCGTCTCTGAGAGGGCGCTCAACGATAGACTCATGACTCAATCCATGCCTTTCCATGCCTTGCCTTCCCTGCCTTCATGTCCCTTTCAGGACTTCTTTGATGCGGAGATCAAGCAGCTGGGCGTGCAGAACTCCTACTTCCCCATGTTCGTCTCTGAGAGGGCGCTCAACGCTGAGAAGGACCACGTCGAGGGCTTTGCTCCCGAGGTGAGGCAAGGTTGCTCTCGTGGTGAGGCAAGGTTGCTGTTGTTATGAGTGTAAGTGAAAGTGCACAAGTCCCTGCTTCCCCATGTTCGTCTCTGAAAGGGCGATCAACGCTGAGAAGGACCACGTCGAGGGCTTCGCTCCCGAGGTGAGGAAACGTTGCCATTAGGTCGTTATTATGATTAATATGCGTATAGTCATCCCAAAATGGGCCCTTAACGCTGTGAAGGACCATGCTGAGAGCTTCCCTCGTTCCTCCTCCCTCCCTAGCTCCTTGCTCCTTGCTTTCCTCTCACCCCTTCTCCCTCCCTGTGCTCCCCTCCCCCCCTCTCCATTGCAACCCCCAGGTGGCATGGGTGACCAAGTCAGGTCAATCTGAGTTAGACGTGCCCATCGCCATCCGCCCCACGAGTGAGACGGTGATGTACCCCATCTACGCCAAGTGGATTCACTCGCACCGCGACCTGCCGCTGAAGCTCAACCAGTGGAACAGCGTCGTGCGCTGGGAGTTCAAGCACCCCACGCCCTTCATCCGGTGCGTGGGAGTGGGTGGGCGGTGGGATGTGTGGTTCTGAGGCGTCTCAGCATTCGTTGTGTGTGTGGGTGGGTGGAATGGTAGGTGTGTGTGGGGAGGGCAGCAGGGCAGGGCAGGGACGCTAAACAGGTTCCAGGAGCGAGACGCCAAGTGGATACACTCGCACCGCGGCCTGCCCTTGAAGCTCAACCAGTGGAACAGCGTCCCCGTGCCCTTCATCCGGTGGGTGGGTGTGTGGGTGGGAGTGAGTGGGTACGGAGGAGTAGGGGAGTGACTGGGTACCGAGGGATGCACTAAAGACCAGCGTCGTGCGCTGGGAGCTCAAGCACCCCACGCCCTTCATCTGGTGGGTGGGTGGGATGTTTGTGGCTCTGAGACGTCTCAGCACTGGATGTGTGTGTGTGCGTGTGTGTAGAGATAGAGAAAGGAAGCACCCCACGCCCTTCATCCGGTGGGTGGGAGTGAGTGAGTGAGTGGGCATGTAGGAAGGAGTAGGAAGAAAGGCGTTTCCAGTTTCCACACCCCGCAGCCTTCATCCTCTGGGAAGTCAAGCTTCCCACGCTCTTCCGTTCACCCCGTCTCGCCCCAATATCCCCCCCCAATCAGGAGTCGCGAGTTCCTGTGGCAGGAGGGCCATACCGCCTTCGCCAGCAAGGAGGAGGCGGATGTTGAAGTGTTGGCCATCCTGGAGCTGTACCGCCGCATCTATGAGGAGCTGCTGGCCGTGCCGGTGGTGAAGGGCGTGAAGAGCGAGCGGGAGAAGTTTGCTGGGGGGCTCTACACCACCACTGTCGAGGTATGTGGGGAGTAGCGTGGTGGCGTTAGGTGAGGCTGTGTTTTTACTCAACTCAATACACACCGTGCTCTACACCACATTCCATTGATTAGACCTGGATCGGAAATGTTCATCTTCAACTTGCCATGCTCCCTCTGTGTTGCTGCTCTCCCCGGTGGCCCTGTGGCAGGCGTTCATCCCAGCGACGGGCAGGGGCATCCAGTCGGCCACCTCGCACTGCCTGGGGATCCTGTGCAAGAATGGTTCTTTTCTCTTCCCTTGCCTGCCACTCCCCCTGTGCTTCTGTGACATTGTCACCTGCTGCAGGCGTTCATCCCAGCGACGGGCAGGGGCATCCAGTCGGCCACGTCGCACTGCCTGGGACAGAACTTTGCCAAGATGTTCAACATTGAGTTTGAGGACGACAAGGGCGCCAAGCAGATGGTCTGGCAGAACAGCTGGGGGCTCTCCACCCGCTCGGTCAGTGGAGTCACCAGTGCCGGCCTGCCTGATTGTGTTTATCGTGTTTAGCTATGGGGGTATTCTTGTGTCCAGCCAAGCAGATGGTCTGGCAGAACAGCTGGGGGCTCTCCACGCGCTCGGTCAGTCACTAGGGCCCACATGATGGGTACCAGAGCCAAGCTACTAGGTTTACTCCTGCTCAGATGGGAGAGGAGTGCATGGTGCTTCCAGTGAGACCAAGTGTGACCAAGTGTGACCAAGTGTGACCAGATTACAAGGGCCGCATTCTTCCCCCCAATGGGGCGCCCATTCTGCTGTCTCACCTCTGCTCCCCCTACCTTCCCACCCTTCCGCCTCCCCATCTTGACGTCTTCTCCCCATCCTCGCTCCCTCCCCTTCCTTTTAAACCTGCCATACAGATCGGCGTGATGGTGATGGTGCATAGGGACGACAAGGGACTCGTGCTGCCCCCGTGATGTGGAGCCTTTTTTGGTGGCTCAAATGTCCTCCATCAACCTTCCAACACCCTACTCCACGCTGCTACACCCACCGCAGATCGGAGTGATGGTGATGGTGCATTCAGACGAAAAGTGACTCGTGCTGCCCTTGTGATGCGGTGCCCATTCCTTCCTGCTGTCCTGCCTTTCCTCACCCAACTATGCCCCCTCCTCCCATTTCCCCCCTGCTCCCTGAACCCACAGATTGGAGTGATGGTGATGGTGCATTCAGACGACAAGGGCCTCGTGCTGCCGCCCAACGTGGCGCCCATCCAAGCCATCGTCGTCCCCATCCCCTTCAAGGACGCCGACCGGGCGGCCGTCGTGGCAGCAGCAGCCGACGTGGGCGCCCAGCTGCGGGCGGCGGGGGTGCGGGTGAAAGAGGACGCGCGCGACAACTACTCCCCAGGCTTTAAGTACAACTTCTGGGAGCTCAGGGGTGTTCCCATCCGTGTGGAGCTGGGTCCCAGGGACCTTGCCAACAAGCAGGTGGGTGTGTGGGTGTGTGCTGGCAGCAGGGTGTGGTGTTGGTGGTGCTGCAGTGGTTATCAGAGCAACTTTTGGGAGCTCAGGGGCGTGCCGATCCGCGTGGAGCTTGGTCCCAGGGACCTCACCAACAAGCAGGTGGGCAGCAGGGGCTGATGCTGGTGTGTGGTGTGCTAGCAGCAGGGGCTGATGCTGGTGTGTGGTGTGCTAGCAGCAGGGGCTGATGCTGGTGTGTGGTGTGCTAGCAGCAGGGGCTGATGCTGGTGTGTGGTGTGCTAGCAGCAGGGGCTGATGCTGGTGTGTGGTGTGCTAGCAGCAGGGGCTGATGCTGGTGTGTGGTGTGCTAGCAGCAGGGGCTGATGCTGGTGTGTGGTGTGCTAGCAGCAGGGGCTGATGCTGGTGTGTGGTGTGCTAGCAGCAGGGGCTGATGCTGGTGTGTGGTGTGCTAGCAGCAGGTGGTGATGCTGGTGTGTGGTGTGCTAGCAGCAGGGGCTGATGCTGGTGTGTGGGTTGCGGGCAGGGGGGCTGTCGAGTTGACTCACCGAGGGGGGGGGGCGGTGGGGGGGGAGGGGGGTGTGGGAGGCGGCTGGGAGAGAGCGGGTGAAGGCCCTTCTTGTGACGATCCACGCGGACATGCTGGTGCGCCCCACCAGTGGGACGAGTTCACGCCTCCCTCCCTCTCTGCCTGCCTGCCTGCCTCTCGCCCTCCCCTCCCCTCTCTCCCCTCCAGGTGGTGTTGGTGCGGAGGGACACGGGCGCCAAGGAGTCAGCGCCCTGGGAGGGGCTGGGCGAGCGGGTGAAGGCGCTGCTAGCGACGATCCACGCGGACATGCTGGCGCGCGCCACCAAGGAGCGCGATGACAGCATCGTCAAGATTACAAAGTGGGAAGAGTTCATGCCGGCAATCGATGCCAAGAAGATGGTGCTGGCGCCGTGGTGCGATGAGGAGGCGGTGGAGGAGGATGTGAGGAAGCGGAGCGCCGGTGCTGGGGAAGGCGGGTCCGCCAAGACTTTGTGCATGCCGTTCGAGCAGCCCGAGCTGCCAGAAGGTACGTTATACGGGCAATGTGTGCTGGTAGTGGGTGGGAAGGGTTACAGTTGGGAGTGGTGTTGAGCTTGGGGTGAAGAGGGAGAGGGGTAAATGGTGCTGGATTGAGGGGGGAGGGGGGTGGGGGAGAATAAGGTGGTGCTGGCGCCGTGGTGCGATGAGGAGTCGATGGAGGAGGATGTGAGGAAGCGGAGCGCCGGTGCTGGGGAGGGCGGGTCGGCGAAAACGCTCTGCATGCCCTTCGAGCAGCCCGAGCTGTCTGAAGGTGTGTTTGTGCAAGCCCTTGTGTGTGGAACGGGGGGGGGAGAGACGGGGTTGGGGGGCTGGCATGGAATGGCTTGGCGAGTGCTGCTGGGGAGGGTGGATCCGCCAAGACGCTCTGTATGCCGTTCAAGCAGCCAGAGCTGCCTGAAGGTGTGTGCTGGGGGAATGGGGCCAACAGCCAGGAAGGTTCTTTGTGGCATGGCTTGGCATGTCATGGCATGCTATTGGCAGCATTTGAGCAGCTATTCAGGTTTGGAGGGCGGATCAGCCAAGATGCTCTGCATGCCATTCGAGCAGCCTGAGCTGCCTGAGCAGATGTTATGCATGCCATTCAAGCAGCCTGAGCTGCCTGAAGGTGCGTGTGTGGGTGGGTGTGTGGGTGAGGGTGTGGGCGGACTAACATGGTAAGTATGGCATGGCACCCAGGTAAGTATGGCATGGCAGAGAGTCAGAGCCTCGGCACTTACAGCACACCGTGCCCTCCTCTCGCATCCCGACTCTCCCTCTCTCCTCTCTCCTCTCTCCTCTCCTCTCTCCTCTCTCCTCTCCTCTCTCCTCTCTCCTCTCTCCTCTCTCCTCTCTCCTCTCTCCTCTCTCCTCTCTCCTCTCTCCCTCTCCCCCTCCCCTCCTCCAGGCGCACTCTGCTTTGCATCGGGCAAGCCAGCCAAGAAGTGGGCTCTGTGGGGCCGCAGCTACTAAATCAGGAATATTCACCCGAAATGGAATATCCCCACAGCGGTCTCTGCCTCAGGATTAGCGTGAGAGGCTCAAGTGGCTGAATTGTACTGTACCGGAATCTCTTCACCTCACCATCCTGGAGAGAACAGCCATGCACTGGCTGTAGATTCAGTTGTGTAGGCAAATACGGTAGTGCTTGCTTTTCCCAGGAAAAGGTGGGAATAGTGACTCGATGCTGGGTTCACAGAGCTGCTGCATTGCAGTGCCAGATCTTGTCGTTTTTGTGCCACAAATCCTATACAGGCATGAAGGTGGGGTTCCTATTGAGAGCTCACTGCATTAGGTGTACGGCTTTGACAACTCAGGTCTGCCATTGGCCTCAGTCAACACAAAGAATGCATAAGAGGCAGCTGCTGCTGAGGCATGTAAGAGCACAGCACTACTGGTTTTTTACGCGAGGCATTTAGTAACGGGTAACAGTTGGATCCAGGGACCACCACCAGCTGAAGTGAGTCCATGGATGCGATTCAAGGTGGATGGAGCCTGCCATTTATCTGAACAAGTAGATTGCTAAGGACCTGAACAGCCAGTGGGTAGGAGAGGCAATGGGACAGAAGGGATCGGGAGGGGCATGGATGGGGCGAGATGGAGTGGCCAAGGGAAAGGTGCGCATCCCACGGACAATTGCGTTGGGCAGGCGAGGACAGAGGTGAGCCAGAAGGAGGAGGGGGAGGGGACACAGCACACAAGCCTCCATCTTCCTGACTTACTCACCTCTGGACTTACTCAGCCAGAATTCCTCTCAATCATGAGCACTCACTCAGGCTCGACTCGACCCTGACGCTCCTCCAGCACCTCCGGTGGTGGAAAGCGGAATCTCTCGCTGCTCCCGTTACAGACGCAGCCGTTCCCCCAGGAGAGTCATGGGCAGGCGGGAGAGGAAGGAGGGAACACAACACACAAGCCTCTTCCTGACTTACTCAGGCCCGACTCGATCCCGCTGCTCCTCCAGCACCTCCGGTGGTGGAAAGCGGAATCTCTCGCTGCTCCTGTTACAGGCACAGCCATTCCCCCAGGAGAGTCATGGGCAGGCAGGAGAGGAAGGAGGGAACACAACACACAAGCCTCTTCCTGACTTACTCAGGCCCGACTCGATCCCGCTGCTCCTCCAGCACCTCCGGTGGTGGAAAGTGGAATCTCTCGTTGCTCCCGTTGCAAGCACAGCCATTCCCCGAGGAGAGTCATGAGCAGGCAGGAGAGGAAGGAGGTGAGCCAGAAGGAGAAGGAGGAGGGGACGCGCGCGTAGAGCAGGCAGAGCAGCGCGTGCAGCAGATGCACCGTGGCTGCAAAGTCAAGGCACTTCTTGGTTCGCTCCACCACTACTACCAGGTAAAAGGCGCTGTTGGATGGGAAGAGGAGAGGAAGAGGGGAGAGGGGGGGGGGGGGGGGGGGGGGGGGGGGTTAAGGGGAGAGGATATGGAGAGGGGGGCGGAAGTCAAGGCACTTTTTGGTTCGCTCCACCACCACTACCAGGTAAAAGGCGCTGGTGGGCGGGGATGAACGGGATCAGGGGGGGAGGGACGTATGGGGAGGGGATGTGGGGAGGGGGATGGGGAACCGAGCAGGCAGAGAGGTGCGTGTAGAGCAGGCAGAGCAGCGCGTGCAGCAGATGCACCGTGGCTGCAAAGTCGAAACACTACTTGGTTCGCTCCACCACTACTACCAGGTAAAAGGCGCTGTTGGATGGGGGAATGGGGAGGGAGGGGGAATGGGGAGAGGATGTGGGGAGAGGCAGGGGGAGAACATTCACACGCAGTTCACTCAAGGCCGATTCGGACGACATATTGCCACGTGGCCAATGCTTCCATCCAATTTCCCATCCCCACCCCTACACCTACCCGTCCAACCCTCCCCACCTTTCAGTCCCCCCATCTCCTCCGCAACATGCGGCCTACCCTCCTATTTTTCCCCCACCACTCCTCCCTCTCCACTCCTCCCCCTCCACCACCTCCCCCGTAACTCTCCCCCCTTTCCGCGCACTCCTCCCGCGAACACTCACCCTACAAACGCGTTCGCCAGAAACGCGAATATGCAGCACCAGCCGACGAAGCTGGACGGCGAAATCACGGAGTAGTCGAAGAAATACTTGAGCGTGAATCGCGGAACGTGCGACCCGACGAAGAGCCACAGGAAAACGCCGAGAGAGAGGTAGAATAACGACTGTAGACACGCGATCTGCGCTACGATGAGCCACGGATCCCAGACCATCGCTCCGTAAAACATGGCGACGACGCGGCGAGAAACGGCCTCCTGAAGAAGCTGTAGCGGCCGGATCCCGCGCCGCTTCGCCTTGCCGTCCGTGGTGGCTTCGGTGGTAACCACCTTGGCGGGCGTTAGCGACGGAATCGCCGCCGGTCGCGGCGGGAGGTGGTGTTTGGAATCGGAAGGTAACTAGGCAAGACGTAACGAGTTCCTACAATGTGAGGACCAGTTTATGATAACGGAAGAAGCACCCTTATGGCGATTAGGGAGCACCCAATTGGAGATCAGTGATCACTCGAACGCAATCAGGTGTCGCGCACATTGACCCTAGTTACGCTTTTGAAAGTTCTCAAAACCCTGTTGACAAGGCATCGTGGGCGCGTTGATGGTAGTTTAGCTGCCTCGTGCCCTGTGGCTGTGCCGCGGAAGGCGTGTCCACGGTGAATGGGTGGGATCTTCAGATGCTCGGTGCGCTGAAGCAGTAGATTCGGTAACCTTCACGTAACCTTCACGTATTTGTGGATTAGCACGGACAAAGATGCGAAACAAAGTCAAATATATTTCAGACGATCATGGAGATTAGTTGCTTCCGAACCAGAAAATCCGGGAATCTGGGAAACTTTGGAACTAGGTCCCGGAAAAACTTCGAGACTAGATTGGATCTAAGGATTATTCGCTGGGTTCGTATTCCCCCTATTCTGATTTTGTTCCGTTTCTTTGCTGGGTAGTGTCAAGTACTCAATAGTGACAGTAAGTGACAAACGTTTTTAGCACCCACTAAACCCCCCTCAATCCAGAGTTCTTGTTGGGGTTGCCGCCGGACGGCTAGGGTTGCGGTTTGACAGGGAAATCCGTGTCAGAGAGGTTGAAGTCGGTTTAGTGTGGCGAACTGTGGTAAGCCGATTTAGTGTTTTAGATTAGCCTACGTTTCAAAACTACACAATTACTTCCTCTGGTTGACTCGGTATTATTATAACATAATGAACTCAGAATGAACATCAGTTTCCGGTATTAGACACCGTGAACCAAAACTATACATATATAAGCAGCAAATAAAGCCAACAACTGAAACAATCAAAGCTAGCTGGTGGGAATAATACAGATGCAACCGCATGGAATCTCTGTTGCGTCTGTATTGTTCCTACCACCATGAGCTCGCCATAAACCCAGTGTTTTCCCCCAATCGCCCTACCCCAAAAGCACCCTATAAGATTTTAAAACCAGGGTCCCACGTAGACCATTTGTTTTGCAGTTGATGCGAAACCCCCGTTTCCCATTGGTTAACGAGGTTGGAAACACGAAAAGGGGTGCAGCGAGGGATGCGAAGGGAACAAAATCGTTTGCTGTGTTCCAAACCTTCTAGGTATGGAAACAGGTTCGGAGCCGAAGCTACAGTGCTAGTGAAATGTCAAGAGTTGTCGAAAGTCTCATGTACCTGAAATTTGTTTTGCAATTGGAGCTGAGGCAAAAGTGGGGGATCCCTAGCCAACCAGTCCGCCTCGCCTAGAAAAACAAGGTAACTCAGTCTCAAATGTTTTGCAGTTGATGGCAGAATATCTTACTTGAGACCCTGGTTTTAAATAATCTAGGGTTACCGTATGAAGCATTGGAGAGAGCCCCGTTCAAACACCTGAGAAACTTAGAACGAGAATGGATTGACTAAGGAATGAAAGTGATACAAATATGAAACCCTAGAATTGTGTACCCCTTAGTATCTAACTGTCAGTAGAGCTACACTGTGAGATCCCCGATCGATCCTAGGGGGGGTTACAGGCGCGTTTGCCTGGGGGGTTATGGGCGCACTGACCCGCTACTGAAACAAGCCCTTTTATCCCAATGGTCTAGTGGTTGGGATTCTGACATGGTATCAGAGCGGTCTCGGGTTCGAATCCCGGTGTATGCACATGTTGGCCGTTGCCACTGTGCTCAGTCCTGGGCCTCCCAGTGTGGGGGGGTGTCAGTAGAGCTACACTGTGAGATCCCCGATCGATCCTAGGGGGGGTTACAGGCGCGTTTGCCTGGGGGGTTATGGGCGCACTGACCCGCTACTGAAACAAGCCCTTTTATCCCAATGGTCTAGTGGTTGGGATTCTGACACTAACCCGCTACAGCCTACACAGGCTAGATCATATAAGTTTGACACACCCCCATAGGCAAAGTGGGGGAGAACAAGGGGTCACAAGACCAGTCAAGCAAAGCAAGGCAAAGCAAGCTCAGGGTGGATCACAACGTCACCACACATTCTGAGCACAAGTTCAAGGCCACAAGGCCAGTTCACATGCATGAGTACACACATATATATAACGCTAAACAAGCAAGAGCAGGTATATATATATGTAACAGTACAAGCAAGGTCAAGAAGTGAGCAAGTGAGGCAAGGTAGGTACAAGACCTAACAGAGTACAGAAGCGCTGATGGTCACAAGGCGCAAGTGCCTTGGTGAAGATATCAGCAGTGTTGGCCTCAGAGGCCACGTAAGCAAGACGCAGCTGACCGCGCTGCTGCAGCTCACGAGCAAGGAAGTAGCGAAGAGCGATGTGCTTCGTTCTGTGCTCCAGTCTGTGCTCCCGACACAAGGCCAGCATAGCCTTGTTGTCTACGTACAGAACTGGAGGAGAACGAGGCGGCTCTCCTAGGTCAGTCAGCAGGTAGGTGAGCCAGCGTAGCTCCTGTGCAGCCATGGCCCCTGCGTAGATCTCAGCCTCACAACTGGAGCCGAGAACAGAAGACGAGCGGGTAGACCGCCACGAAACAGAGCCGGAACCAAGGCTGAAGGTGTAACCCTGTGACGACCACTGCGTAGCCTGGTCGTCAGCCCAAGAAGCGTCTGCGTGACCAGTGAGGACCACTGGACTCCGCCCTCCAAGCACAAGCCCCATGCCCGACGTACTGCACAAGTAGCGCAACACCCTCTTCGCTGCAGCCATGTGCTCTGGTCTGTGTCTCCCAGGAGCAACATAGCGTGCCAGAATGCTAAGAGGGTATGCAAGGTCAGGTCGAGTGCAGGTCATCAGGTACATGAGGCAGCCAACAAGCTCTGGGTACGGGCCACTCGACTCTACGGACTCATCCGAAGGCAGAGCTGAGAGCGAGTGGCGAGTAGACAGAGGAGTGGCCTGAGGCGAGGAGTACGTGAAGCCGAAGCGCTGAAGGACCTGCTGCACCATGTGTGACTGAGTCAGGGTAATGGTGCGCTGTGCTCTGTCCCGGGTGATCTGCAAGCCAAGGTAGCTGCGCAGTTCACCCAGGTTTGTGCACGTGTGTCTCTTCTGCAGCTCGGACTTCACGTGGGCGAGTCCAGCAGTGTCAGCTGTGGCAAAGACCAAGTCGTCGACGTACACGAGGATGTAGAACGGCGGAAAAGAAGTGTCGGTGCGCAGAAACAGCGACGGGTCGGCAGTAGAAGGAGCAAACCCAAGAGCCGCAAGTGTAGTCCTCAGTGTGTCGTGCCACTCACGAGGTGCCTGGCGGAGACCGTAGACTGGCCGCCGGAGGCTCCACTGGGTACCAGGAGGAAAAGACCCAGTGAAGCCAGGTGGGCGGCGCAGCCAGATCTCCTCGTGCAGGCTGCCCTGCAAGAAAGCAGTGCTGAAGTCAAGAGAGTGAAGCTCGTAGTCACGGTGAGCGGCTATGTGCAGCAGTACCCGAAGAGTGGTCATCTTCGGGGTGGGAGAGAAGGTCTGAAAGTAGTCAACTCCCTGCCGCTGACTGAAGCCACGAGCCACGTAGCGCGCCTTGAAGACATGCGGAGAACCCGGCGGCCGCTTCACCCTGAAAATCCACATGCCACTGACGATGTTCGCCCCAGGAGGGGGAACCTCGTCGACGTAGGTGCCTGTGGACTTCCAGGAAGCCATCTCTGCATCCATGGCTGCCTGCCACTGAGAGGAGTAGGGACCCTCTATCGCCTCCGCGTAAGAGCGCGGAGTCGGGATGTCTGGTGCATCCGGGTCTCCCTCAGGGGCAAGCAGCATGGACACGAGATGAGGTGAAGCAGCAGCAAAGCACTGGTACTCCTCCTGCCTGTCCTCAAGAACGTCCGTGCGAAGGGCACACTCACCCCCGAAGGACGGAGGACAGACAGACTCAGACTCAGCGACAAGACTAGCAGCGTAGTCTAGGCGACAGTGGGCAGCGAAGTCGACAAGCTCAGAAACTAAGGCAGACGCAGCAGCGGACTCAAAGTAAGGGTCAGGGACGACAGTAGCAAGGAGACGCGTGACAGTAGGACTGGCAGCACGAAGGGAGTCCGACTCCGGGTCAGCAAGAACAGGAAGAGAGGACTCAGGAGGAGAAGGCAAAGGGGCACGCAACGGAGCAGTGGAGGGACGCAGAGACATCCGGTGCGTGCCGGGGACAGGGGGAGGACGCTGACGCGAACCACGACTACTAGTGCAAGCAGCACGGACAGGCGACGCAGGACGAGACGCAGGCTCACGACGCTCAGCAAGACCTCCAGTAGGACCAGTGTAGGGAGAAGGAGCAGGCAGAGGAGAGGTAGGCTGTAACTGTGACTCGGACTAGACAGGCGGTGGACACTCTAAGGGAGGAGCCGGACTAACAGAGGGCGGAAGACCAAGAACCTGCTCAAGGAGCGGAACGAAGTACGGCCGCGGCCGCTCAGCACCACCAGCACCAGAAGGGACAGCACCAGCACCCCGAACGACAGCACCAGCGCCAGCAGCACCCCCAGCTCCAGCAGCGCCAACTCCAGTACCCTCAGAGGCACCAGCACCAGAGGCACCCTCAACGCCAACACCCCCAGCAGCTCCAGCTCCAGCCGGACCACCAGAAGACGCAGCGGGTCCAGCTCCAGCACCCTCAGTAGCACCGACGCCCGCAGCACCACCAGCTCCAGTACGAGAAGCACCCGCAGGCCCAGCAGCTCCAGTACGCCCAGTACGAGCACCTCCGGGACCCGCGGCACCAGCACCCTCAGCAGCAGCAGAACCTCCAGCACCCGCAGCACCACCAGCTCCAGCAGCTCGCCTCCAGCGCCGGGCAAA